ATCAGTTATTTTCACACTTTTGTTACATGACTGACCAAGTAGTTATTTTATTATTAACGCCTGAAAGAAATAACCTAGCAAAGTATACAGTTTCGAAGCCTAATAAAATATATGTATTTTTTTTCTTTTTATAAACTTCAAAGTTGAGAAAATGAAGGCACTTCGACTTTGAAATACAGAATTTTGGTTTCATAAATTTTGATTAGGGTGATCGTCCCATTTTTGATTCACTTACTGCTTTGTTTCACTTGGATTATGTGCATTTTTATTTTGGTGCCAATTATTTTTGTTATTAGTTACGTCCTCAATTTTATAATTTTGTGGTGTGTAGTGCGTATTGTGAACTATTGTTCAGGCAAAGTATCATTAGTATCAGTCTAACCTCTCTTATTGTTCACAAACTAATATATAATAATTTTGTCGGCGTCGGGACGTGACGACCCCATCGCCCACTGGTGAAATAACCTGTGACAGAGGTTATTTCATCAGCGCAATCAGTCAACCCCTTCCTAGTGGGAGTGCCATGCTGTTGCCTTCGGGCTTCAGCCAAATGGGCAGGCACGACCGGGGCAGTACCACTGTCTCTTAGAAAACCGGCGTGAAGTGAGGCAATAGGTTCGCCTTATTGTACTCGCGTTTCGTACGGTGAGGGAGACTCCCGGAGCCCATCCCCCCCATATGGAATATGAAGGTGCAGAACAAACAGAATCTACCCCAGGGGGGTACCACACGCGCTCGCGGTGGAGAATCCCCCTCTGAGCGTCCGACACCGGGACACTCAGCACTCGGTGGTGGACGCACAGGCTGCCCTTCGTATTCTGGGGGGCAATTCTGCGCTCAACAAAAACAGTTATCGTTCTCGGGGCAAACGGAGCAATTCAACAAAGGCACCCCCGTCCACGCTCGCCGTGGACTTCACAAATGTTAGGGGGCTCAATTCCAATATCAACGCAGTCCACTACCATTTAGAGACTGCGAAGCCGGCCTTGCTCTTTCTTACCGAGACTCAGATTTCCTCCCCGGCTGATACTTCCTACCTCTCCTACCCGGGGTACAAATTGGAACATTCATTTGTGCCGCGGGCGGGAGTTTGCGTGTACGTCAGAGAGGATATCTGTTCTCGTCGCCTCGGGACGCTTGAAGGAAGGGACCTATCTAACCTCTGGCTGCGCGTTGACTGCGATGACCATCCGCGATTCTACGCATGCCTGTATAGGTCCCATAGCGGAAATACCGAAACTGACCGACTCATTGAGCACATCCAAATGGCTACAGATTCCCTGCTCGAAAGGGTTCCTACCGCTGAAATCGTGATACTTGGCGATTTTAACGCCCACCATGCCGATTGGCTCGGCTCTGAAACCACCGATCACGCGGGAAGATCCTTTCACGACTTTGCTTTAGCCTACGACCTGACACAAATGGTCCCTGCGATTACGCGAATACCAGATGTGGATGGTCATAAACCCTCTTTGTTGGACCTTCTGCTGACTTCACATCCGGAGAACTATCAAGTCTCTGTTGACCCGCCATTGGGTTCATCGGATCATTGTGTGGTCCGGAGTGCTGTGCCATCTACGCGCCCTTCACGGCCCCGCTTTATGGGTTGTCGCCGTATTTGGCACTATAAGTCAGCAGATTGGGACGGGATGCGGTCTTTCTTTGCGTCCTACCCTTGGGGGCCTATGTGCTTTTCGCCGGAAGCTCCAGATTCCGTCGCCGCCTCTGTCGCCGAAGTGGTTCTGCAGGGCATGGAACTCTTTATTCCATTTTCTGCGGTGCCGATCGGTGGCAAGTCTCAGCCCTGGTTTAAACGTTCTTGCAAGGCGGCCTCGCGTCGAAAGCGAGAATGCTTTAAGGCATGGGCGGAAGCGGCGAAATCTCGTGATGCCAATACCAGCGAACTTAAAACAGCATATAACTCAGCCTCCAGGTTCTTCAAACGGGAAATCACTAAGGCAAAGTCAGAGCACATTGCCAGATTTGGCGAGAGATTGGCCCAGCTCCTTCAGGGACTCGAGCCTTCTGGTCTCTCGCCAAAGCTGTCCAAGGGAATTTTTGTCAGCCCGCCATTCCGCCACTGCACAGGGAGGATGACTCTCAGGCCCACACTGCGAAGGAGAAGGCCGACCTTTTGGGCTGTCTCTTCGCGTCCAACTCGACTTTGGATGACCGAGGAAGATCACCACCGACCATTTCGCGGTGTGATTCTTCGATGCCGGAAATCACATTCCGGCAACGTGCTGTCCGCAAAGCACTATCTTCCTTGGACATTCATAAGTCGAGCGGGCCGGATGGTATCCCCCCAATTGTGCTGCGTACTTGTGCTCCTGAGTTGGCTCCGGTCTTAACGCGCCTTTTCCGGTACCTGTACTCGCTCGGCACTGTCCCGAAGTGCTGGAAGACCGCTTTGATACATCCGATCCCTAAAAAAGGCGATCGCTCTGATCCGTCCAACTATCGCCCAATAGCTATAACCTCCTTGTTCTCCAAAATAATGGAAACCATTATTAATTGCCAGCTCTTGTGGTATCTAGAGGGCCACCAGTTGATTAGCGATTCTCAGTACGGCTTTCGTCGTGGTCGCTCAGCTGGTGACCTCCTTTGTATACCTTACCCATAGGTGGGCAGAGGCAATTGAGTCCAAGGGGGAGGCGCTGGCGGTAAGTTTGGACATAGCGAAAGCCTTCGATCGGGTGTGGCACAGAGCACTGCTCTCGAAGCTTCCAGCCTATGGGCTTCCCGAGAAATTATGCGATTGGATCTCCAGCTTTCTGGCCGATCGGAGCATCAAGGTCGTCATCGACGGAGCATGTTCCGACCTTAAACCTGTGAACGCTGGGGTCCCACAAGGCTGTGTTCTATCCCCGACCCTATTTCTTTTGCATATCAATGATATGTTGCAACTTAGCAACATTCATTGCTATGCGGATGACAGCACTGGGGATACTTTTTACACTGGCCGGGCAGGTATTTCTCGGGCAGTTGTTGATGAGTACCGGAACAAACTTGTGTCTGAAGTCGAAACCCTACTACGTGGAGTCTCAGACTGGGGCAGACAAAACCTAGCCCAATTTAACCCCAAGAAGACACAAGTTTGCGCGTTTTCCGCTAAAAAATCACCCTTTGTCGCTACTCCTCTTTTCGAAAACACTCTTCTTAAAGCCACAGCCAGCATTGGAATACTTGGCGTTGACATATCGTACGACGTTCAGTTTCGCGGTCACTTGGAGGGAAAGGCTAAATTAGCCTCCAAAAAGCTTGGTGTGCTCAGCAAGGCGAGGCGGTACTTCACTCCGGGCCACCGCATGCAACTATATAAAGCGCAAATTCGGCCCCACATGGAGTACTGCTCTCACCTCTGGGCGGGGGCCCCCAGTACCAGCTCCTTCCACTTGACCGTATACAACGCAGAGCGGTTCGAATCGTCGACGACCAATCCCTCTCCAAACGGCTTGATCCTTTGGCGTTGCGTAGAGATGTGGGGTCACTCTGCATCTTCTACCGCATTTACCATGGAGAGTGTTCAGAGGAGTTGTTCGGATTAATACCTGCAGCTGAGTTTCATCATCGGACGTCGAGACAGAATACGAAATTCCACCCGTATCACCTCGACGTCCGCCGTTCCACAACTGAGCGTTTTTCAAGGCAGTTTTTGCCGCGCACCACCACTATGTGGAATCAGCTGCCCACTGAAGTATTTCCGAACCAATTCGACTTAGGGTCCTTCAAGAAAAGAGCGTACCAATTCTTAAAAGGCCGGCAACGCACTCGCGAGCCCTCTGGCATTGAGAGTGTCCATGGGCGGCGGTGTCATTTAACATCAGGTGAGCCTCCTGCCCGTTTGCCCCCCGTTCTATAAAAAAAAAAAAAAAAAAATATAATTTCTCCATATCCTTACAACTGACAATTATTGTGTGCCTTTCTTCTTATTAAGGATATATCGAAACGAAGTATGTACTCAGGGCTTATATTTTTAATACAAAATTGTATATCAACGGCCAATGAGTATTGTAGTAGGTAGGTAAACCAAATATGACATTATATTTCCTTTAAAATATTTATAAAATTGTGATATAGTGCCGTCATTGTTTGTTAAATAATTAAATAATGAAACAGCTAATAAGAAGTGCTTTTTGTTTTTAGCAAGTTTCCCAAAAAACGTTTGTTTAAAATAACATTCTTTAACCAGAAAAACCTTAGAAAAAGAAACGCCTAGAAAAACATAAAAGTGTACTTTTCAAATTCCCCATCACCCCCAGAAAATTGATGATTTTCACCCACGTCAAATTTTTATTATCTACTGCGTACCTACTCTATTCACGCGTATTAATTTACACGATTATAATATGTACAGACTACATCAGACAAATAAATTTCATTTAATTGACTGATATTTAATTAAATGAAAGTGTATTAGCTTTCGACTATTATCATATAATAAATTGCAATATAATATTTTAAACCTCATTTTAATATATTCAAATTATCAAGCGTTGGGGAGAAACGCCCCTTGGTATAAAAAATCACAATGGGTTAATTCTTCGGATGGTCATGTGCACTTCTGATTTGCAAGTCGAAGTAGTGTTAGTATTGTAAATGACTTCAACGAGGTCACATTACTTATTTAAATTTGTATCATTTGATCGAACGTTTAGGTAGAGGTGTAGTTACGAAGTGAAATACGTAAAGTCTGGTGATATTTTTTATTTAATTTTAACAAGGTAGGTAACATGAATGAAGGGTGATTTCAGAATATACATATTTGCCTCACAATTTAATAGATGTTAAGCTATAATTATATTATTTATATAATTATAATGACTATGATAGTACACAAATAAACTTCTAAATAATGTATACTAATTAAGGGATGCCAATGTAAGCCCGATTAAGTAGATTAGTTACGTGGTTAACTTGCTTGGTTACGTGTATTTTTTTTGTTTTTTTTAGATATTTTTTTCCTTTTTTTTGCTTTTTGTTCCTAGACGACCCACATTTTATTCTGGCTCGTTCATCCTGAGGCGGGCGAAGTCTTCAAAGACAATGTTGTCTTCCTCCTCGTTGGTGTACAGAGAGTTCTCATAGCGGTGACGTTCAATCGACTGCATCTTCTTCATGGCGTTGAAACGCTGCTTCTCTGTTGATCCTAAACAAAACGTCAATTTATTTGACGTTAACGTCAACCTTATAAGCGTTTGTAGAAATATATTTGCTACGCTTACCCTCAGCTGGGTGGAGGAGCTTGAATGGCACGTCGGTGACCAGTTCGCCACCAAGAGTTCCACAGTTCAGCTTCACGCGGACGGAGTATGATACCACAATACCAATAGCATCGGCTGGGCATTTTCCCTCGGTGACCAGGGTAGAGCTGGCAAGGTTGACGTCGTCCTCTTTCAGGTGTCCGTCCAAAGCCACTCCTGTATTATTGAAATGTTAGTGATTGACATATTCGGCACAGTAAGACGTTAGATGTTTAGGGAATTTAACTTACCGCGAATGTCCTTGTTGCTACGAGCAAGGGGAACGAGGTAGAAGCTCTTGGACAGGCTAGCTCCGGGAGTAACGGGGCAACCCTCACGGCTCTCCAACGATGCGACGTGGCGGCTGAACTGAGAGTTGATCATGGTAATTTCGACATGCTGTACAACCATGCACCGGATGTTGCGAACAGATTTCCTGGAGTTGTTGGAGACAATGATGTTAGCGCAGATCTTTTCGCCATGGTAGTAGATCTCCTTGTCCAATGTGACTTCCAGGCTGATCTTTCCGTTGCTGAAAGTGAAGCCTTTGCTCACAAGGGAGCTTGGAAGTCGTCGTCCACGGGAGGCAGGAGCGTGTTGAAGCTGTAATTAATAACACATTAGATCTGTCTAATAAAAAAGAAGTGGTGATTAAAAATTAGTAATCTTTTTGGGTCGTGGTTTTACCTTCTTGATCGCCAAGGTAACCGAGCTTCGCTTGTGGCTCTTCTGGTCCTCGCTCTCAGCTACATAGGTGCGGACGCAGTATTCAACGCCCATGGGCTTTCCCTGGTCATCATCGTTAGCCTGGAGCGTTACCTAATCCAAAAAAGAATTCAATTTTTAAGATCTGGATTCGACTTAGTAGGAATTTGATTTAATTTAAATCCCAGATTATTATTACCGAGCTTGGTGACATTTCGGGGAAGTTGAAGGTGAAAGGGAAGGCGTTGGGTCCCAATTTCTTCAGAAGCTTCTCCTGGACTGGTGTAAGTTCCATTTTAGCGTTAACCATTGGGACGACTTGTTCCGTACCAACGACCATCTCCTTGGAGAATTTGACTCCCATGACCTCATCTTCCTCCCTACCATAGCGGTAAGTGGTCACGAGCTGCACAAAGAAAATAAAATTATATCCTGGCATCACTCCACTTATCACAATTCACTTTTCTTCACTTTTTCACAACACTGTACCTGGCTGTAAACTTTCCTTCCTTTCAGGTAGTCGGTGTCAACGACCACTACTCCATCGATTGGGTCGCAGTAGTCAATGTGATCAATGAAGTCACGCTTGCCAAGGTAAACCGTAACTTTTCCATTGGGGGTGGTTTTTTTGAAAACTTTGACGGCAACGACAAAGATAAGGGAGAGGTAGTCAAGCATTTTGCTAGGTGCAAATTAATGCAAGACCACAGGATAAATCTGATACAAGAGACTTCTTTTAATGTGGATTGTTGTTGGAATGTTTAGGCTGTGAGGCTCTCACCAGAAATGATCGGTGTAGAGCCACATTATTTATATATACCCGCAACCTGTGAGGTTTCTTGGCTAGAGTAGCAAGTTAATGAGATTTAACTCGTAGGAGCCACAAATTGGATTAAACTCGTATGACGATGTTTTGTAACATTTCAATCGATAAATTATGGGTAACACTAGTTATGCTTAGTCTGTATACAGTCAAAAATACATGAAATGTCATTATAAATTTAAGTTGACAATCAAGCGTTGTCAGTTTTCATAATATGAGTCTTGACACACATTTTCCCGAAATATTACTCCAAACGTCATAAGTCACAACATTAAATTGAAAATTTTGATAAACAAAAAATTTTACTCGATTAATAAATGATCTAGTTTTTTATTTAGCAAATAACTATGTTGCTAAAATACAAACGTAGTTGCAAAGAATAAACAATTGTTTTACTTGTTTCCAATTAGAATCTAATTAGACAACGTTGGAATTAAAAAACATTTTTACATATTATTGCAAGAAATAATACTAAAATGGGAATGTGTTCACATTTGTAAATGCAAACAGTATGTTATAAACCTTATTTATTATCCAGAACTTAAGCTGCCTAATTTAGATTAGTTGTTTGTTGTCATTATTAAATTATGTTACATCATTTACAAACTATTCTTCCTAATAAAATTCATATGACTTAATAATTTTAAGAACCTATTATAATTTGAATTTTTTAAAAGGATCTTGCTATCGTTATGTATAATTATTATATATATATATGTGTTAAACATATTTATGTATAATTACTTATATAATATGTGTTAAACATATTTAACAAGACTATTGTTACTAATTCCAGTTACACACTCAGCATGCCGACCTTCTTAACACCAGGCCGGCACGGCTATAGTGTCCGTTTCTCAAGAACAAGACCTGATGCTTTAGCTGTAGCAACTAGCCAGTATTATGGGTTAGCTGGTGGAGGAACATTATTTTTCCTCGAGATTTCACCAGATGGTTCCACAATAGTTGAAGTACAAAAACTAGAGTGGACTGATGGATTATTTGATGTTGTAAGTAAATTTTTCTCTAAGAACAATAAGTAATAAGAAGGCTTCATGTAAGTCAGAATAAGCATTTTTAGAATGATTTATATCCAATTTTTATGTCTTAATTGAATAAAAGATTGATGTTCATTCATTTCAGCTTAGTAATGGTTTATTATAATTAAGTTAATTGAATTATTAAATCAACTTTTAGAGACTCAAATTCTTCTGTTGTATTAATATTTTCTGATAATCATAATTGTACTAAAATAATACCATGTTTTTCTTTCTCTGACTAAAATAATCTTTAGAGATATAGAAGAACATTCTAGAAAATTATAGATGAAACATTCTTAATTTACCCACAATTAAGAGAGAATTTAAATATCTTCTAAGTAACAGAGTTAACTGTTTTCAATCTCATTAAAGTTTATTGCATTAGGTCACAATTGAGAACAGCATAGTATGAGTAACCTTTTGAAGCCCCCAAAGTGCAGTTATGTGAACGCCTGACGTGGGTGCTTAAGAGGCTTAGTATTCATTTACCTTTATTTAATCTTTCTGCTAAAGCAACATGTAGTAAATATTTTCATAATTTTATTAAAACATATGAAAATATGTAATTAACTTTACTAAATATTGTGTATTAAAGATGTATAGTTGATAAGATTAGAGGTACCTTATCAACTATGAAAATGACAAAAGTAGCCAAATTTTAAAGAAATCTTTAAAATTCTATTGACATAATTGTGTTGTAGCCATACTATGGAGATATATTTTTATATTAGATAAATGCTGATATTTTTAAATTGGAAACATTCCATTACCTACCAAGAAAATTCAAAATTTTCCTCTTCATGATACTTGATAATATGTATTTAATATTCACTATATGATATTTAGTTTTCAATTATTAAAAAAGATTAGGTTATTGTAGTGTTATTGTGACAAGGGACTTGTAAGCCATGACTGCTTAGTAATTATTAAGAATGATCATTCTTATAAATACATAGTATATGTTTATAATATGTTATATATATTCCATATATCAAATCTCCACCTGTTTTAAAGAAAAATGTGTTGTCAAACGTCGCACGTCCCAAAATATATTATCAGAACAAATCTCATTATAATTATTTATATGTGCCATAACACAAATGAATTTCATGTTTAATAATTTATTGTTGAGTAGGTTAAGTGAATTTTTATTTATTTGTTATTGATTAATATCATACCTACCAATATTATATATTTTTCAATGACAGCTACATAATAATATAGATTCTTACAAAAGTACAATCAGTCTTGCTGGTAGCATATAACCATTTTTGGTTAAGTTAATCAAATATGACTGATTACTTGAATCTGACAACAATTTTAAGTACTTTTACATACAGTAAAAAGCCTTATCATAGGCATTAATGCCCTGTTTTGTTTTTAAATGTTATTTTAAACTAAATGCAGTGAAAGCAAGTAGTTATATATATGTATGGATATATAATTTATTTGCAGACGTGGTCGGGTACGTCAGACGGTGTCGCGGCTTGCGGTTCAGGCGATGGCACGATTATCGTATGGCGCGTGGGGTGCGCCGCGCCCCTGCGAGTGTTGCGCGCGCATCACAGTGAAGTTTGTTCTGTTGATTGGATGCGAACGCATTTGCTAAGCGCCAGTTGGGATACTACGGTCAAATTGGTGAGTATTTTTTTTTAAATCTCAAACCTTTTTTTAATTAGACAGTTAAATTATTGAATAGTACTATTGTACGGAAATTTTATTATGTTCTTTATAGTGCAAAAAACATATTTGAAATAACTTTATATAATTAAAATAAACTAGTTTTGAATTATCGGGTAACAGTACGTTACCTAGGACATAAGATAGACATACATATTTCTAATAAATAATAAAATAAATCGTTTATTTGCAAGAAAATGGTACATTTAGATCGATTAATTATAAAAATCCGTATAAAAAGAGGCATGGTGGGAATCGAACTCATAATTACCGTAAACCGTATAGAATAACGTTTAGTATTCTAATATGTACATATTGTTTGGGAAGTCGGTGATTACTATTGATTAATTATAAGCGAAAACAGGTTTATAGGGCACACGTTCCATTATCAGAAGTAGGTACAACACGTAAAATACTTTGTCGAAATTTTTCATTACCGTTTGTAAAATGTAAAATACCTAGGTAACACTGAATATGTTTAGAATATGAAAAACAGCTTAATGTAGAAAGTTGCTAATACTTTTATTGTTTTTCGAAGTAATCTCCGTTCCTCTCTACACATCGTCGCATTCGATGGAACCACAGAAAAGCAGTGGGCCCATTCTTCCTTAGGGGTCTCTATGGCATTTTCGTACGCTTTCACCGCATCTTCAGCGCTCGTTAAGCGAATACCTCGAATTTTATCTTTAGTTCTTGGGAATAAATGAAAGTCGCAGGGCGCCAGGTCTGGACTGTATGGCGGATGACTCATTATCTCGACACCTGCCATAGTCAAATATTCAACAGTCCGTTTTGCGGAGCGCGCTGAAGCATTGTCGTGGTGAAGGAGGATCCTGCTTCGAGGGAAACAGCGATTGACATAGGTACCAATCTGCAGTAACTGTCCTTCCATCTTCTAGCACAACTGTCGCGAAATGACCTTTCCGACCAAAGAATGAAGCAATCATCTTTTTTCCTTGACTTCTTCCTTTCTTTACCTTAGTTGGCCGATCCGCGAAAGGAAACATCCACTAAGCTGATTGTCTTTTGGTTTCGGGTTCGTAGCAATATATCCAACTTTCATCACCTGTGACGATGTCAAATACAGCATTTGAGTCACCGCCGTTGAACTTCTCTAACATTTGGCGACACCAGTCCATGCGAAGGTGTTTCTGGTCGTCGGTTAAAGTATGGGGAATCCATCTCATCATCATCCATCTGGTACAAAGCTTCCTGACGCCTAAGGGTTGGTGTAATATTTTTTGAACTTGTCGCATACGAATGCCTAGGCTTGCCCGTATCTGCTGATAGGTCACTCTCTTATCTTCCTCTATCATGCGTCGCAAAGCACTGATGTTATCTTCATTAGTCGCTATTAAAGGACGTCCCTCACGCGGATCATCATTGAGATTGCTTCGTCCACGCTTAAATTCGTTAAACCAATTGTAAATAGTGGCACGAGATGGGGCTTCATTAAGAAATGCTAATCGCAGCCTATCATAGCTTTGTTGTTGAGTAAGCCCACAACGAAAGTCATAATAAATCAATGACCAAAAATTTTCTCGCGTTAGGTTCATTTTCACGTGTAACAAGAGTTTTAGATTTGCCGCCAATTCATAAAAACAAATGACAAATGAATGCAATATACTACATTAGGTTGCCAAAGAGTTCTAAAATTGAAATTAAAAAAAAGATTTTCATTAGCAATGTTTCTAACTGGCCAGTTCTAAACATTTTCAGTGTTACCCACATATTGTATTGTGAAATACAATAGAATTTGAATTTTCTAAATATTGATGGAAATACGTTTTTTATAGAAACATATAACATAGAAACAAAACTGAACTTGAAAATATTTTTTCAATACATTATAATGATTTTAAAACAAATTTTATTGTAGTATTCGATTGGAGTTTATCATACAGATAAAATATTAAATGTTGACTAAGATATTTGTATTAAAAATATTTATTAAGTTATGAAATAATCTCTTTATAATACACTAAAATCAAAGAACATTAATTTTTAAATAATTCTGTTAGTAAAATTTTCCAGTACTTTCCCTTCCACTTTCTCACTAATGTGTTCTGAACAATATCACCTTTTATATAAAATCAAACAAGTATTTTTATGTGTTGTTACTCTTAACAACATTTAAGTGTCTCTTAAATTTTACTTTCTTTTTAATCCTAAAGTTACTTGAAATACATTGCTTTTACGTACGAGCTTACTGCTTAGCTCTAGTTTTAATCCTTTTGTAGGCTCGCCATAATTTAATTACGTACATTAATGAAAATATTGATATTTTCGCAACAATTCTCTAAATGAGGTTAAAGTTTTTAAGTTTAGTTGAAATTTGCGTTTTTATTACTGCTGTGTCAATTTCTGTTCCTTGCGTAATGTGTTTTTCCTTTGTAATTTATGTTTTAATATAAGTGACGTATTTTTTGTGTTAGTGCATATAAATAACTAAAGGTCTTTATGCTTTAAGTTTAAACTGTTAGCATAAAATAAAATAACTATATCAATCAACGGCGCTACAACACAAGTACGTGATCAGCCTCCTGCGCCTGACATACCTGACATAGTCTAAGGCAAACCTCCTCACGATGTTTTCCTTCACCGTTCGAGCGAATGTTTAATGCGCTCATAGAAAGAAAGCCAATTGATACACAGCCGGGGTTCGAACTTACCTCCTCAGGGATGAGAGTCGCACGCTGAAGCCACTAGGCTGACGCTGCTCTTTACGGCGTACCTAATAAATAAATCTATCATCCAATATAGTGGGACCCCGAATCGGAAACATGTCTCAACACATTCGCGGGTCATTCCCAACTGGTTTACACGGCTGCATTCTCCCCTCATTCACCAGCGACTTTTGCGTCGGTGTCGGGTGATGGTCACCTCAAATTGTGGTCCTGTACGGAATCATCGCGGCCTGCGGCGGTCGTCAAAGCTCACGATGCTGAGGTAATATTCCCTTAATCATTGTAATCGGGTTTCAGGGTTTTAATTGAATGAGGCATAGTTATCGCCGGAACTTTGGATAAAGGGGGAAACAGGGTTTTTACAAAGAAAATAGATGCTAATTCTAAATATAGATAGCGCTATTATAAAGGATGATAGATATGTCAAGGTAGTTCTAAATATAGATGGCGCTATTATAAAGAAATTAATATTTTTTTGACATATAAATTATAAGTTACATTAAAAAGTGCGATATAATTTAGAGGTTCAAAAACTTTCTGTCATTTTATGGAAAATGTTGTTAATGTCGTATGCAAAACGCGTCATTTATTCTTAGCATTGGGTAATTTAAGACATGGGCGTCATCAGTTTTCAAATATAGTAAAAACCAATTGGTGATATCATTTCTGCCAAAAAGAAGTTCATCATTTAAATTGCTGTTGATGGATACAAAATACAGTATCTACCGACATTAACCGAGAAGAACGGGCAAAAACCTCAGCCTGGTATTATCTCAACAAAGTTTACAAAAGTCCATATCGTAACAACAATTGCGTTGACTTTATCCACTTTGCAAATTAATGTATATTTGCAAAATAGGGATTTTTTCAATTGTTTTGTTCCCTTTTGAGTTATATTATGAAAGTTTCCATACATATCTTTAACTTTTTTGACAATATTCTATAGACTACTTCCATCAGGAATATTGTAAGATTCTAATGGAAGAATTTCAGGTTCAGTACTTTTAGAGCAATTAAAACAATCAAATCTTTCCTCTTTATAATATTAGTGTGGATTTAAAAGTTCCGCCGATCGAAAGATTCATCAGGCTAAGAACAGTAGGATTGATCCATAAATAATCCTCGATATCTGTCGTTCCACAACTTAGCGGTTTTAGGGTAGTTTTTGCCGTGCACCATCATTATGTAGAACCAGTTGCCCATTGAATATTTCCCAACCAATCTATTTCTCTGTCAATGTGAGTGTTCATGGGTGTCGGTATCACTTAACATCAGATGCGCCTCCTGCCTCCTGTAAAAATATGCTGGAAGAAAAAAAAAATCAGAATGTTTTATAGCACCTATAGAGATAGTGACTAAATGCGGTCATAACCGCAAGGTATTATAGTATATGATTGTGTTTTAGGTGTTATCCTGTGACTGGAGTAAGTCGGAAAGCCACGTGGTAGCAACGGCTGGTTCGGACGGACTCATTCGAGGATGGGACCTTCGGAGATTGACTGCGCCTATGTTCACTCTAAAAGGTAAGTCTGTCGGTTGATGTCTCGCGTTCAGATCCCGGTTGCGTTGCTTTGCCATAATGTATAGTTCTTTGTAATAATAATTAATTTGCAAGAATATGGTACAAAAATATTCTGGTGGTACAATCTAAACTTCACATAATGTCGTGTAAATTTGTCTTACATAATATAATACTTAAAAGGTAGAATTTAACATAGTTACATATTATATTATCTGTCATGTCATCATAGTCAATTGTTATATTATTTTATCACTAAATTATCACATTATTAAAATATATTATAACATTATCAAATTAAAATTAATTATAATTTTTCACTCAAATAATAATCATTAATATAATATGGATTTTCCAAAATTTATTAAGTCGATTTAAAAAAAAATCACTAGTATTATAATATTTTACATATTTTATTTATTGCGTAATAACGTGGTTATTAGTAATTTTATGTTCGTAGAGTGAAGAAAATGATTTCCAAATTTATTTTTCAATTGCGCCATCTATGGATCGCCTTAGCTAACTCGTTAGTGTCATCTGTTTTCAATGTTAAATTGTGTCTTAAGTCTTAACATTACGATCTAGCCTAACTTAAGACCAATAAGTAATTTAAAACTAACTTATTAAAAAAAATATATTTAATATAAGAAAGTGTCCAAAACCAGTATGTATTAAGGGGAAGACACTCTGTTCTTGTGTATTTTTTCCACTTACCACTGTTTAGCACTAACGTGCAGTTACACTAATTCAATAATTCCAATCGTTTTGTCCTTTACAAAGTTGTGTCACTCAACAAACCCAATAAAATTGAATTCTGTCTATGTTTTTTTTTATATTAAAACATGAATCTCGGTATGAATGCATAAATGTGTATGTAATAAATTAATGAGTGATTTTATTATCTTATTGTGCCCGTTCAATAATGTGTCCGAAAGTAAATATATGAAATGCATCGTTTTCACTAATGTATTCATCTCTCTTCCTCACAGCGTAAATATAATGTGACAGAAAGAGACGCAAGATTGTTGTACGTTTGTATTTCCACTTTTTTCACACAAATTAATAGGCAGGAGTGGTATAGTAGTGGCATTAGTAAGCGTTCCAGGCAACTCTAACAAAATAAATCAGGAAGATTGTAAATATTATTTTTATATTTTTCAGGTTGTGAATGCGCGGTTAGAAGGGTTCAGTTTTCGTCGCATGCGCCGTCGATAGTAGCGGCTGTGTCATACGATTTTACTACAAGGTAAAGTATATATATAGATATATATATAATCCCAAAACTGGGTGCAATATTTTATATAAAAATGGGGAGTGTCTTGTTCCTGAATTATGTAGCGGGTTATAATTTAGCTTCTCCGAGTCAAAAATTTTATTGAAAATCTTGATACGTTCAAAATGATGGAGCTTCCTCTCGAAATGAACTGTGGAATCGACTCCCGGTGGCGGTCTTGCCTGGGAGATACGAACCGGTTGGAGTTTAAAAACATACTCTTCCCTCATACCTATCAAAATAGATGGGCCTATGGGCTGCGAAGACTGCCCTTTTTGTCCCGTAGGCTATGTTATGCTATAAAAAAACGACAAGTAAATAATTTTTTTTTAGAATATGGGATTTAAAACGCGGCTGTGATCCATTAGAAACGATAAGACACCATTCGGAATTCACATACGGCCTCGACTGGAATACGTTGAGGCCGCACCAGATCGCCGATTGTGGGTGGGACTCTTTGGTTCACGTTTTCACGCCGAGATCGCTCGTCTGAAGAGCCAGAGGTAAAGTTAAATTTAATTTTTCTCATGAAGCCGTTTTTTTTTTCATTTTGCATAAAACAATTGCGGCGCAACAACTCCTTCTATTCTGTATCTGTTTTTGATAATGATTTTTGGGTATAACATGCCGCTTTCCTCATGTGTTCGTTCACCGTACGAGCGAGTGTTAAAATGCGTACGTATAAAGTCCATTGGCCCAGCCGGAATTCAAACTTACGACCATTTAGAGATCAAACTGAACTTTATTTTTAGAAGAATAGTAATTTAAAGAAATATATTTAAATACACATCACAGATTAATTTTAGTAATAACATGTTAACAAAACATTTATATTTAGACAGCATCGCAGACGTGGTCGAAATCGGCATGTCTCAAAACCCAAAAATCTATGACATGTGTCAGACAGAAGACTCATCTACTTATCTATGAAATGAAAATGAACAAAGAAACTGATGCAATCTGTGGCCAAGACCAAGGGTTATAGCGCAACTAGATTATTATATATATATATATATATATATATTTATTTTTAAAGACGCATTCCTGAAGTAGATGTTTTAATTGTTATTATTTTATTTCAGATGTGTATTTGGCTGTTGTGAATATAGGCTGTGGTTAAATGTTTATGACAGTGACATAATCGCTCGTCAGATATTAGTGCGTTGTAAAAACCTTGATCGGGATTACTAATTAAATAAACGTGTTCATGGTTGTTAAAGAAAAGCTGATAAGCTAAGTAATGATTTTGCATCCGATTTCTAACTTGGTCAATAGCCATTCCATATAAAGTGCCTATTCCAGCCATTTAGATTAGAGATCGCAATGCTTATTTAATTTTTTATGTTGACAACATTGTTACAACATTATAGTTCGACATATTGATACTTAATATTAAAACCATATTAATAGAATATATTAACTAATTGTTGAGTAATTGATTTTGATTTTAAATAGTAACACGGCTGTCATGTTGACTACTAATAACATGATTTATATACAACGGTTTTGGAGGGAAATTTCAAAATGTCAGGTGGACAAATGACATGACCAGTCATTTTAGATTCTTCTAGGCACAGATATTGTAAATTTACTTAAACAATTTTATTATCGAATGTTTAAAAATGTTTTTTTTTAAATTCCCTACAAGAAGTGTCATAGTTATAGATACTAGTCTCCTAATCGTTATTTGTTTAGACTAAACTATTACTCTCTATTAAATTATGCGTTATTTAAGAATTCAAGAAAGTGCAACTTCCTGTATTAGGAAAATAATATTTCCTTTAAGAGCGTACGAATTCTTAAAAGGCGCTCCATCTCGGACTAAGAGTGTCTATGGGCGGCGGTATCTCTTAACATCAGATGAGCTTCCTGCCTGTTTGCCCTATAAAATATATGCGTAAAGCTCCGTTACGCTGAATTATTCTTTTGAGTATATTTTCAAGATTTTGCTTCTATTAAGTACTCCTTTACTCAACGCAGGAATTGTATATAATCGTATTGCTATGTATATAATGTGAATACTTTAAACATAAGGGATAAATGTACTGTATATTGTGTTATATATATAGGTATATTGTTTTGTTAATTCTCCAAATATTAAATAAAAATATTATTCGAGTTGATTTTATTATTCCGTTTTAAATATAAGTCCATACCGATTCCGCCATGTCAACCAATTTGTTTGAGATTTTGAGATATAGAGTGTGCAAGTGTGCGCAAATATAAGGGCAAATTGTCATTGTCAAAATGGCATGTCGATAGCGTGTTGTCTGTGATTTTATATTCCAACTAGACACTGACAGCACATCCAAGAAACTGCAGAATGTCTGCAGTCTGTGGATATCTACCTAGAATACCTACTAAATTCTAAGGTTTTATTAAGTATTTTTCTAGCTGAAATAACTAAATCATTTTCGATCTTGGAGTAAGTAGTATAGCTTTTGATATTTCAGTTTATATTTGGTTTAGTTGTCGAGGCAAAATATAAATTGTATACAATGGTACGTTTTCTTAAAAAAAAAAATATATATATATATATATATATTCATGAATAAAGTACCCCATAAATAGATGTGCCTCCTAAAAAACTAAATAAAAAATTTCAATAGTTGAAATCTAATCCTTAACCATATTTATATATATATATATAAAAAAAAATAAGTATTTCGGATTTCTATATTTCGTAAGACAAAAAGGTACATCTGAACAAGTTGTTGTAGCGACATCTAGTTGATATTGAATATATTGAGATAAGCTAACTAGCTAAAAACAGAAATACGATTACAAATTTTGATATATTTGAAACATTATGTTAAGCGCCACCTAGTGGAAAACTATTGAACTAAGATTACAAATTTTGTTTCAATCTGCGTACTCTCCCTTCGATGGCGGCAAGGAAATAGTAAACAGTTCGCAAGTCATGGCTTTCCTCTCCTCGTATATCCGTGGCGCTGGCTGTCGGCGGTAAAATACAATTTTGGCAAAGATATTCTGGGGCGAATTTCGCTTGACAATTCTTGTCGTGGCGCCCGCTTGGCTTCATTGTGCACGCTTCGACGAAGTCCCTTTCTGCCCGGTTTATTGGTAGATGTTTTTTAACTAAAATAATAATATAATATATAATAATAAATTCTGAACTAATCGTAAATAATTCAATGGCGCTACAACCTTTTTAGGTCTGGGCCTTGGATTACTGTCTGTTTCATATTAATTTGTCAATCTAATAAGCAAGTAGCTGATCAGCCTCCTGTGCCTGACACACGCCGTTGACTTTTTGGGTCTAAGGCAAGCCGGTTTCCTCACGTTTCTTTTCACCGTTCGGGCGAATATTAAATGCACACAGAATAAACACAGCCGGGAATCGAACCTACGACCAGAGATGAGAGTCGCACGCTGAAGCCACTAGGCTAACGCTGCTCTTTTGTTTTTTTTATTTAATCAAATAATTATGATTCGTAAAGAACTATTTAAACTGTCAACGTCATGAAATAACGGTTAATTTAATTGGATACTGCCGAAAAAACAAATTTAAAAAAGTTACAACCTTATCTAAATTAGCAGCCATAATAATAAACGATATTATTGTAAAATCAGTCATCCATTATTTCGTAGTAAGTCTTTCTATTGGTATTTTAACTTTAACTTTTATTTTAATTGCATAAATAAATATGATATTGCCTATTGACGATATTTTACAAAATTACACAATTTTTTGCGACTTCAAAATACTCATAATATTTTTAAATTGCTTGTTTTATGAATTTTTCCAAGTCACTTTATGTCTTATCTCATTTTTTTTTTGAAGTTTTCTCTGGAAAGAAATAAGGTCGCTAGTTGCCCCATTTTTATTTAATTGTACTGTATCTCAGTAATACTAGAACGAAGTGATAATAAAGAAATAAATTAAAATGCTAACAGTTGTCCTTTATACGAGTGATATTCTTTATTAGGTAGTTGCTATGGTTACGGCAACATGTTGCCAGCTCCGCTTCCAACCATTCATTATTTACATCTGAAACATATTAAGAATTCTTATTATTCAAAGTTCAATACTTTCTATTCTCTGAAAGCTATTGAAGCCTAATCATCAATCAGGTTTCCTTTACAAATGATAAGAAAAATCACATATATGCATTAATTTCTCGTAAAACTCGAACTGAAATTGTATTGTCGTCATGTCTTGTCAAAATGACAAATCAAACGTTTATATGGACTTTAAAAGTGTTCAGATATCAAAATTTATGCATATGAAAGATAAAGAATTTAATGTCCAGATGGCACTGAAATCAGCCGAAATTGAATAAACCTTATCTTAGGGTAAGTTTCGAGAATTAAAACTTAGTGCGAACCAGACTAATACGTTTTTGACATACGAAAGTATTACTTAGCGCAGACTAGATTCTTAATTGGCATTAGCGTCACTTGAGATAGGATATTGTGTTCTTCGTAGTACTATACTGAAAGAGCCAAAATCTTCTATTACGATTTCTAAGAGGCAAGGGTACGTAAAACTATTTCGTATTTTTGTTTTGTATTCAAATTATGTTTACGCTGTGACGAAAAGGGGCAGATGAGTACTAAGATTGAACTATATTTTTAATGAACGACTGGATATGACTTTTTTATCGGCTTCTGTTGACATTTTTAAATAAAACTTCAAGACCGAAAATACTCAATAAATTTCCGAATAACGTCTGTGAAATATTCTTACCTAAATTCTCAATTTCGTGTGCTGTAAATTTCTTAGCACAATATGGGCAGATCACACAACTCCAATCATCCCTTAGAACTTGCACAGAACGTTCTAGAACATTGATATTCAACTTTGAAAAAAAACCGACTTTAAATACCCGTCACATTATTCATATACATATTTTTTTCTTTGATTCAAAGTGGTGTTTGTATGAGTTTATAAGCTAAACAATAATGTTACACAGAAGGATAAGTACACAAGGAAGAAGTGGCTATTTGATACCTTCGTCCTTGCGTCTTTGTACGTTGTTACATGGACAAAATTCTTACTTTTAAATTGTTACAATACAAGTTTTTAAATTGTTATAATTAATTGTATAAAACAACAATAATTTAACAAATATTTGACGGCCAATATAAGCTGGAGTTCAGTTAAGAATACTTATACATATACATGGGTACAGGTACTTAGGTATATAATATCAAATAAGGCAATCATTTATGTATTTATGGAGCCGACACAGGGAAGACCACGGAGAGTCCGAATAAAATATGCAATGAAATAGAACAATTGGTATTCCAACTCAAGAATATAGCCGAATATATAGGCCATCGACTACGTTGGAACACCTTCAGGATAGGAGCCAACATTGAGCAGTGAAGGAAGAACATCTAGGTCGGCCCAGCGACTATTGGATCGAAAGACAGGAAGAGGATCTATTGTATCCTATATTTTGTATTGATCTATGTAGCTGAAAGCCATCAATTCGCGGTACAGGAACTGCTTGAACATTCGTGTCGGAAGCCAGAAACTTGGGGTCGTAAACACTATATTTACATTTTTATTATTTATAATCTAATAATATATAACCATACCTAATAATTAGAAATGTTCGGACCAACCTGCTTTGTTCTCAACAATTCCAGTTTCCTTCGACAAAGAACGCTCTTTGGCAATTAATCTCGACGTTTCGTACAGCGTCTTGTACACTAAAATATTTTATTAAGTGAAATAAAGACTCATGAAAACACAATATACATTTTAATTATATATTTTTGTTTATGTAAGTCAAAATCCGATGACGTTGTGATAAAGTACCTAAATACAATATAATTCAGCCGGGACCTTTGATTTTGGTCAATATAACCGGTATGTTTTTCTAAACGATGTCGTCGTAAACGGTTTTGACTGTATTTTTATTTATTATTATTTTTTATTTAGATTTAACTTTATTTTATTTTAGTTATAGTGTTATTTTGAGTTTCTTTTGTTAATTAATTATGCACTTCTTGTACTTTACCCTCTGTAGGTGTTTATTTTTTATTGTTCCACATTAGGGTTGCCTGGAAGAAATCGCTTGTTAGCGATAAGGCCCGTTGCCTTATATAACTTATGTAACCTGCTTTTTTTATTTCTTTATACGTATGTTTTTGTATATGGTAATAAAGTGTAAATTAATAAATAAATAAATAATCTGTATTTTTCGTTCTATGCTTGTCGTTTGACGGCGCCAGATAGAACAAGAAGCCACTTTCCATCACTTTTTGTTTTCTCAGAAATTGCTAAAATAGGTTTAGTTGTTTTTGAGTTTATCGCGTTTATACAGACGGGGGAATAAATATATTTGAAAGGATTATTCAATTATGTATGAAAGTAGAATATTTAAGTAATTATTCTAAATTTAGAGATGTTTGAAATTGTTTTATTTGGTTTAATTATTTTTTATTAGCGCTTAATGAATTTAAATGGAATATGGCACACAAGAAGCTTTAAGTCAAAAAACTCTGAGGTCCTGCAACTTTTATTTTTCTTACTACATATTTGCTAGTTAAATAATGAAGGCCGTGAGTATCGAAGGAGAAATATCTAAAAACTAAAAAAGCGATAAAGCTGTCAAGCTCATAATCGCTTTATGTCAACTGTCAGCCACAGGAGGCGTGACTTCAGACGCCCTACTTGCCGACAGATTAAAAAATCAAATGTCTAGACAAGAAAGCTCATACCGGAATGTAATTCAGATGTTTCATAGACTTTAAAAATATGTAATATTTTATAAATAAATACATTTATTAAAACTTCGTTACCTTACAAATAAATAACAAGTAACATAAATTATTAGAGATGCATCGGGCGGAATTATCGCTAACAACCGATCTCTTCCAGGCTACTCTAGTAAGGAAAAATAATACTAAGGCAAGCAAGAAGTGCATAAGCAAATTAACGCAACAAAAATTTTGGTTTCAAGATAATGAGACAAATGCAATTAGAATTTTTAAGTTTAATATCAATTATTAATATTGATAAAAACTACAATGATTAAAAAGTTTTTATAATTAATAATATGTAAATAATCCTTTTTTTCACTATCTAAATCTAGTATTAGACTTTTCTTTAAATTATTTTTTATGTCAATTTTAAAGTTTAATATCAATCTTTAGTTTTGATTAAACTAAAATAATTAAAGTTTGAATGTCGTTGAAACGAAACAGCGACAGTAAAAAGAGACAGACACATAAATTCATAAGATTTAACGTAGGAGAAAATGAGATAGGAAGCTAAGCAACTAAGTGTAGTAAGAAGTTTTCACTTCAAAAAGTTTCTATAATTAATGATATGTAAATGAAATTGATAAATTTCATCATTTTTATAATTCAATTAAATTAATCTCTTATTTAATATGTTTTTTTTTATCAGAAAATTTTCAAATACACACTTATTATCTCATTTTCTCCCACGCTATAACCATATGAATTTATGTGTGTTGTTTTTACTGTCCCTTTTTCGTTTCATCGACTTTCAAATCACGACGATGCTAAAGAAGTTTTCACTTCAAAAATGTAATTACAAATATCACTCAAAAATTATACAATAAAATATAAATTGTTAATATAGGCAGAACTGTCACTTCTATTAGAGTCCACGATCAACGTGTTTTAGGACGTTTAATTTATTTCGAATTTATGTTCCAATTTTAAATCTTCATTACAACATCAAATTTCGAACACGACAGATTACAAATTCTAAAATGCAAATACCTTGGGGAGTCAAAACTTCGCCAAGCAAACCGCTGGTGTGTTTGTGGCTACAATGTGGTTTTAATACTGACGTCACTACGCCCACGGTACGATTATCTTGCCACGGTTTTACTGCAAAAAGGTGTTACTTTTTAGGCTGTATCCACACTACCGTACAGTTTGTTCTCGTTTGATCTCGGCCCAGACAAATATTTTTATTTAATAGTATGAATACACACATTGTGGAACCCCGTCAAGCCAATGATTCGATTCGATTGAAGCCAGAATAACAGAAGTATGAAAAATATTAGTATGAAAAATATTAATTTAAATATACTGAAGTATTCACATCAAGTATACAGTACTTTACTTAATTTGCACGTTCTTGTTATAACGGCAGTGGCAACACTAAAATAGAATTTTCTTTATGTCAGGGTGACTATTTGAAAACCTAGCATTTTTAGTCAAATGAGCATCAAAGTTACATACACGAAATTTGTTAATCAAAAATAAAACAAATTTTAAACTACAATTTCGTATTTTATGTTAAGTTCAGTGACAATGTTAGATGCTAAGTTAATATTGGTAGGCAAAGCATAACAAATATAAACAAAATTTTCATTTAAATTAAATATTGTTCTAATAAGGGTTCATATAAAAAACTTTAAAAAAAAAGTCTCAAATAAAAACAAAAGAAAAATAAATAGCAAACATTTTGGCATTTTTATTCAAGTGTCACCGGGAATCAAAGTCAAACTTCGGGTTAATGGCACGTTAAAAATGTATAAAGTACCTTTATTTTCCTGCCCAAATCTCGAATGTGTGGACTTAATTTGGACACCCGTGTCGGTCCGCTGACTATGAACAACGCAGCGGGCGCGATCGTATACGTATAGACAATCTGAAATATGCACAAATACTAATTACATAGGAACATAACAAAATTCAATACAAAATCAAGACAAACGTTTATTTACAAAACTGGTGCTTACAATCGATGGTGGTATTGGTTGAATTTCACTAGTTACAAATCAGAATAACGTGTTTAATTATTACTTTTTATAAAGTTTTAAATTTCTACTAAATTGTCAAAGATTGAACCCACATGTACACCAATATTAATTTATGCTTAATTTTGAGTCTTAAGTATACTTGTAGTGTAAGGCAACTTTCGGTGTATAGAAATTTCCAACCAATATATATCTTACATAAATTTACGCTATATTAAATAAAAATAGGGTATAAGTTTGAATTTAACTGTGCATTAAAGGTGTGCGTTTTAGGCTATGTTCACATGTAACGCGCGATCAAATTTGAAGAGCGTTCAGATGATGAGCGCTAACGCGCGTTGCGAGAGTACTCGTCAGTCTAGTTCAGTAGAACGTAGAAAATGGACGTGGAAGATGCTATTATTTTGTGGTTATATAATAAAGAAAAATATAGAAAAAGAAAACGTACACATTGGGTTCATCCAAATTTGAAAAAAAATACAAATTATATTATATTTTCTATACAAATTTGCTATATTCCAACTTGCTGACCTTTTTTCTACTTCATCGATTAGTAAGTCGATGTCAATATCTTCAATTTCACTCATTTTAATTGCGAGAACAAAATATAATTACGAAAATTAACAAAATTACATGCGATCGCGATGAAAGCGCGCGCTCATCTGAAGCAAACGAACATTACATTAATATCAAAGCGCGCGTCAACGCGCGATCACCTGCGTCTAGAGACTTTTTCTCTGAGCGCCGCGTTGAACGCGCGCTCATGTGAACAGTTGTATGAAAATACCACAATGTCTGAAAACGCGCGTCAAGTTTTTGCCATCTGAACATAGCCTTAAACACTTGTTTATACAGTATAACCGTGTGGGACACGGCATGTCTTAAAGTGAGATTAGTGACGACATCAATGTATGTTAAAATAAATATATAGTAGATCCTAACATACTTACGGGGTGTAGGTTAACCTTATAACCCGAAATCTACTGCTGCCTACTTTCCTATAATAAATTATATTAGATTATGTTTTGAAATAAAGACTAACACTGCAACTGCATTTGTGTTGACTAAAACATAAAAATATTTATATCCCTGTTATGTTAAATCTTTAAAAGCACTTTTAAAATTGCTAAATCGATCTCAAAGATAAATGACGTAAATACAAACTTTGACTGATTTCGCTTCGATTCAGAGAAACGTTTTACAGTGAGAATAAATTGTTTGACTTACTTTACCGACAGTGACATATCTGCTTAAAAATAACCCCTATAGGAAGCTTGCCAATACTTTAAAACCGAAAGAGCAGGGTGTATTTTTATATCGATGCTGTCGGGTATTTTAAATTACTAATGACGCTTATCGCGCGTGTTACGCGCTACAGATATGACGGCATACATACATACAATACATCGATGCAAAATGATAACAGAGCCGTTACATGGTTTCAGGCCTCAGATTTCTGTATCGCCTAACCGTACTTACAACCTTAAACTCAGACTCAAAATAACTTTATTCATATAGGTAAACAAGTACACTTATGAATGACACAGAAAAGACGTAAAATTGATTCTAAATTTACATTTACTACCAGTTCGCAAGTTAAGGGTGTAGAGCGGGCAAAAAGAACTGGCAAGAAACTCTCCACCACACTTTTAAATCGTCAAGTTTTGAGTCATACAAATTGTTTGAACTGGAGCAAATCAATCCCAGGGATTAGGATCATTTTAATCATCAAATTTATAAAAAGCTGTATTGATTAATTTACGTTTACGAGAGTTTTGAATTTATTCTAGTGATGAATACAATTTCCATATAAGGAGTGGTTTATCTTCTGGCGCCTAGTTGGTCGTACGTTTAGATTTGTTCTGTTTCGAGTATTTTACTGGTGAAAGTCAATATTTGTTTTAAATTTATATTTTTTTGTACATACAACAAGGCTTCAAGAAGATATTGACCAGATAGTGTCATAATATTTAATTCCTTAAACCTTTTCCGTACCGACTCCCTTAGGGAAACACAACAAATACCCCGAACAGCCCGCTTCTGCAGCACAAATATGGATTGAACCTCTGCAGCAGCACCCCACAGTTGAATACCGTACGACATAACGTTGTGAAAGTAGCTATGATACACAATTTTAGCCGTGTCCTTATCAGTAAACTGTAGGAATTATTTTACTGCATATGCTGCAGAGCTCAGCCTATTCGAAAGAGTCTCTATGTGTGGGCCCCACTGGAGTTTACTATTGCTATGCCTAGGAACACAGTTTTGCCAACAAAGTTTAGTTCACTGTCCTTAACTTTTAAGTTTACCAATATCTCGCTTTACGCTAGTAGTTGTAATGTACAGTCTATTAAGGGGAAGATACTCAGTTCTCGTGTATTAATTCCACTTACCATAACATTCACTCATACTAAGTCACTAAAATAATATAATATTTCTATCAAGTTACCTGCGGTTTCTCCGTGACATATCTTCGCCTTATTTAGAATATGACGAGATGTGTGAACAGTAGCTGATCTTCGCTCGATAAGAAGGGGTAATTTTACATTTATACCTAAAACAAAATTATAATAATATAACTAACTGCTTATTTGATTTACTGATTAATTGGTAAGTTGAATTAAAAGTGTATCATGAAACACGTAACAGAAATATATCCTCCCAATGGAGATCATTAAATGTTATATACTACATAATTACATAAATAGTATTTCCGGACCAATTCCACTTAGGTAGGATTCAGGAAAATTAGCGCTAAACGGGACCGTATGTCAAAAACTATTTGAATTTGAACATTTGGGAGTCATAGTCCGTGGTATGTGTAAAGAGAAAAGAGCGATTCTTAAAGGCAGGCAACGCAACCATTCTGGCAGTATGTCACGGGCGGTGGTGACAATTATACAGGTGAGCCTTCTGCCTATGTCCCAAATATATTAACAAAACATCCTCATTCTATTGAACGCGTTTTAATTAATAATTAAAATGATCGGGCTGTAGTACCCAAAATAATTTTATAGTCTAAAATTAATCTCTTATAAAGGTAAATTAGTTAAAAAAACCTACCTATTTTCTAGGGGTCGTTTCGATATTAATCGTAATAACACAATTACTTTTGTTAAATCTGTCCAACTTTAATATTATACCAAACTTTGAATTGTGTTTTGTAGAACTTCTTTGAACTACGGAAGAAATAATTTTGTTTCAGTATTTTTTTAATATCTTTAGCTCGGTTATGTACGTACTTTTAATTATTAAATATTTTGTAACAAAAGCCAAATAAACAGAACTAGATACGAGTTATTTTGACGAAAATAAATGTAAACAAAATAAGTACAAAAACAGAAAAGGGTATTTACCAGCATCGCAGGTTTGAGGCCGGACTTGGAGAGCAGATTCTCTTTGTTGGTCTGAAAGAGAATTGTCTATTGGGTCCATAAGTTTATAGAGACTGAGAGTATCTTAAGCAGTCCAGCGGTTTGAGTTAACCAAATAGCATACGTGATGATTTTGAAGTTATACTTCTTTTGGCGCGTTAGGGAAAAATTATAAGAGTAAATTGTTACGATGCGCGCGCACACTGTCACAAAAAACCGTCGGTAAAACAGTCTGAACCGCTAGTTGGCGCTTGCTCTGTTTTATCGACAAGTTGCCTTGTCGACAAGTCTGTCATGGTCGTGTTTATTTAAACCAAAATAATAATTTCTATACGAGAAAACCCATTTCAATGTGATAAAAAACATGGTGTTTATCGTAAAATATCATGATTAGTACCTACATATAGTTTCGATTGGAAGTGACTATTAATATGGACAAGAAAATGCAATTCGAAGAGCGAAACGTCCCTCTAAATTGCTCGAAGAAAATTTTTACTCCAAAGAAGTATAACTTCTAATGCTTGCGCTTGCGCTCGCGCTCTAACGCTCTTGTGTACATAAGTACACACACGTTTTTTTACCTTTTAAAACATGTAGATTTTTGGTCCATTCTCATGGTACATTTCTGTTTATATTATAAATATTTCATTGAAATTTGATTCACAATTTTTTTTTGAATTTAGGAATTCAAATCTTAACAGAGATTAGGAAATACTACTTCTATAATAAAAATACAATATTTAATGCGTCATACCTTCGTTATCTCCTTGCCTTTCGTTCGTGGGTTGTGTATTTTGTTCATTTCCTTCAAATTTAGGCAATACATCCGCCAAATTAACAGCCGATATAACATCTAGAGGCTTTGTACTCACTGAAATATTTACATTTTTTTATAGAACAGGCAAATGGGCAGGAGGTGCACCTAATGTTCAGTGATACTGCCGCCCATGGACACTCTTAATGTAAGAAGGCTTTAGACTTTTAAATTGCACATAACATAATATATACATATAACGTTAGAATAACGCAAAGCTCGAAGACGACTTTTAGACTTAGACTTATTCCTTGAACTCTGGGGAAGGTTCAGAATTGGAAAAGCCATGGAACACAAATTCAAATGCAAATTGAATTTGGTTCAAAAAAAATTCAACCATTTGTCAGGCTAATTTTTGCACAGTTAATCATCGTCGTGCAGCCATTTACGAAAATCACCGGACCGGAATTCCGACGGTTCCAAATGGCAATTTCCAATTTTTTTGTGGGAAACGATTTGTACCAGCCTAAATTTTTTTTTATGGACTATCGGAAAATACTAGAATTTTTGTGGAACAAATCGTTTGAAAGTCGTAATTAATCCGACGAGTTCGACCAACGCCCACGCGCTTGGGCCGCCGGTACCAGCCCTGCGATTCTGTAACTCACTTTTCGAACTCACACAGCGGTTTTCGCATCGGCGGTCGCTCTCAAATCAGAATGAAGAAAGATGCGAAAACCGCTGTGTGAGTTCGAAAAGTGAGTTACAGAATCGCAGGGCAGCGCTTTGACCATCATTTTTCTTTTTTCATTTCGTAATAAGACCCCTGAAGAACCGCTATACTGGTACAAATGACCCACTATTTTGTGTCCCTATCTCCCGGCCTATGAATGTGAATACACCTTACTTTTTAACAATTTCTACGGTAGCGTAATTATACTCACATGGTATAAGGTCAAATGTATAACATGAAATCATATCACATGTGAGTTTATTTAACAATAAACTATTTAATGTTCAGGCCATCGACTATTTCCATGAACAAATAATTAATACATTTCGTATTAATTTCGGAGTAAACAAAATGTTGCATTGAAAATAAGCAAAACTTACTACAATTAACAGCTGGTTCCGGATTCGCACTCAAATTCGTGTTGAAGGCATTAGAGGTAGCGACAGCTAAAGTGGCTTTCTCTAAAGACTCTGATACAGTTATTTCGCTAATATCTATAATTGATTGGTAATCTGAAAGATAATAGAAAAGCTACTAAAATTCGTTTGAAAATAAGAGAAATGCTTTTTTTAAATCCGTAAAAACTATGTAAAAATATAAATTATATAAGCCGTCAACCTACTCACTTATGTAATGACAAAAAACACGATTTTTAGTTAGAATCGCAAGACTATTTATTTATAATTTATTGGAAATATAACACTAGTAATCAATAAATAGACTTTGATTTTGATTATAAATTTGCGTTTATAAAATAAAATAAACCAGAGGCGCTACAATCTTTTTAGGTCTGCACTTCAAATTTCTGTATGTTTCATGATCATTGGGCTAGCTGATGGCGACGTGTATCTCTTTCGTATATAATATTAAATTTCTCATGTAGGTAAATAAAAAATATATAAATATTTTTAATGAGAAAATAAAGTTCTTTAAACATTAAACATTATCATTTGTCAATCTAATAGGCAAGTAGGTGATCAGCCTCCTGTGCACGCCGTTGATTTTTGGGTCTAACAGCCTGGCCACGGGACATTCGCCGACGCGAATATTCGCGCGGTGCGAACCGCGATGCGTCTAGCGACTGAAATAAACTCATAGCAATGTACTAATCAAGCCACGCGCAACGGCGACCAGCGATGCGACCGGCGAAATGTACCGAGCGAATCGCGCGGGCGACTGACGTCGCGACGGGCGAGCGAAACAAATGCATGAATCAGTACGGTGCAAGCCACGGAGTCAAGCGGCAGTCGCGGCGAATAGAGAAGGGAATAAACAAGTTTAGTCGTGGTCGCGGCGAAAAATGAATACAGAGTTTTTTGTTACTGAAATACTGGCTAGACCAGCTATTTGGAAGTCTGGCCATCCACAGCATTAATTTAATATACCTTAATCTCAAAAACAATTTTTCAGCGGAACTTAAAATTCTATTTGCATTAACTTTTTTCTCCAATTCTGGTTGAATATTCATAAGAATATAATTGAAGGTTTCAATACTCATTCTGGTATACTCAAAAAAATAATTCTGGATATATTCTGAATTTCTCATACTTCTTGTGGAATTCTCCACATTTTCTCCAAATATTAGGTCTTGCACCAAAAGCTATTACTTTCCAAGCAATATCGAGATGATTTCGATAAAGACATTTCGCTGTCGAACTTCCTTACTGGTCGCGACGGCAAACGTGACTGGTCCGTGGCCTGCAAACGGCCCCGCGCGAATGGTCGCCTCGCCTCTCGCATCGCAGTTCGCACCGCCGATCCCCGTGGCCAGGCCGTAAGGCAAGCCGGTTTCCTCACGATGGTTTCCTTCACCATTCGAGCGAATAGTAAATGCACACATATATAGGCAAAATCCATTGGTGCACAGCCGGGGTTTGAACCTACAACCTAAGGAATGAGAGTCGCACGCTGAAGCCACTAGGCCAACATAACAAATTTGCGTTTATATCCGTTTTAAAAGTCAAAAACTTACAAGAAAAAGGGAAAAAAGGCAGACCCTACCTCCTATTACTTTGCTTTAAAAAAAAACAAAAATATTGTTACAACCAAACGAAAAGCTTACCATCTTTGGTGCACCCGTTCATCCACTTGGCAGCATTTAAGTTACTGGATATAACCACACTTGGATGGCGTGGTTGTACCGGGTTCGATTTCTCAGCTTGGGAGGGTACTACTTGCTGCTTTGGTGGCGACATCTCTTGCTGGCTATTGGCTGTAATTTTACAAGGATCACTCAGCAAATAAACTCTTTCATAATAACATTCACAAAGTTCTACATAAATCAAATATAAAACACTTTAGTCTCGCTCGCTTTAAGGATATTATGGACTCGGGTAAGCCGTTTTTTGTAACTAATAATGTACAGTGTTTAATTCACGATAAAACTAATTCATTTAGAATTTTTTTTTAACTCCGTATGCCATAATTTTATTCAAAAAATTTATGAAATGAAAGCAAACGGAGAACAATGGGGAAAGCCTTCGTCACTTGGCAAGCGGATAATGAGCTGGTACTTATATCATTAGGAAAAGACCTAATATTGTAAATAATCGATTATATGAATAAATTCGACTATATATTTGCGTGTTGTTCCCACGAGAATATAAGTGCGTGCTCCTATTTCACCATGCCTTCTGCTCAAGGACAAATCTTTGTTTTTAATTTATTTTATTATCATTTATTACATAAGATGTCATGTGGAACATGGTGTAATGGTTGCCTTACAAACGTTGTGTAAAACAAAAACTTGGCGATTAAAAAGAGTGGCGGAGAGTTTATTGCCAGTTCTTCCGTTCTACGCCCTTGATTTGAGAACTAGTAGTAAATGTAAAATTAGAAGCATTTCATATATATTTTTGACGTTGAAAATGAATCTTTTTAATGAGATTTAAGTTTCTATTTAGTTTTAGTTATTATTAATTTTTTTGGGGTTGCATGTTTAATTGATTCCCTTGCTAGCTTGCTATATTCTAATATAATGTGTATATGTAAAATTTATGATGTCATCTTTTTTGTATAATTTTATGCATATGTTGTTTAAGAACTTATAAATAAATAAAAGGTTTTATTATTCTTAACAAATGTTACTTGAGTAGATTACTTACAAATGCTTAAAAGTTTTAATTAGCTTAATGAATGAACAAAAGTTCAGATTTCTACTAAGCTTAAGAAGCGAAAAGCCTACAAGGTTTAAGACTTGAAAATCTAAGTGGTTACAAAGTTCATAGGATAGATTTAATTAAACAAGTAAGTAAATTAACAAACTTGGCATACGTTTTGAAACTATGCGAAACAATTTATATCTACACCTTTGAAATTTGAATAAAAAAAGAGTTTGGAGTAGAAATTGCTAGTAATTTCAATATAATTGATAAAGTTAGTGTAACTGCGTGTTAAACCACCTCTTTTATTGACGTCAAGTAAAGTTTATAGACGTCAAATTAAGTATAAGAACAAAATACGTACAAAATAATAGTAGAATTCTATAATAACTTTAAATTTAATATTTCACTTACTAGGCATCTCCTTATTTGATTTGATATCAGTTTTCACCTCAGCTGTTCCTAGATCTAAAAATACATATACAAAATCCTTTATTAATGTCACTTCTATAAATAGTGAAATTCAGCTTTATTTTTGTATGTATATTGATAATAAATATGGACAGTATAAAAGAACAGAAAATGCAAATAATATTGTGGCCTGATAAAGCTACCACATAACACTTATAGAAAAAGATTTAAAAAAAAAAGGGTGCGTGTACTTATGTACGCGCGTAAGAAGTTATACTTCTTTGGCATTATTAAAAATAGTTTGGCTTTGTTCCACCTCCAGTTTTTGATGTTTCACAGCGATAAGATGACAACTCTTTTTTTTGTATTCAATTTAGTGCACTTACACTGATTCATCAATTGTTTTTTGTCTCTTGTCCTTGCTATTTGCTAGAGAAAAATTACATGTTTTGATTAAACAATGTGGTAATTTTTTTAATCAAAACATTACTCGATAATAATAATACAAACTGATAGTTAACCTCAATTGTAATGAAGCACTTACGGCCTGGCCACGGGGATCGGCGGTGCGAACTGCGATGCGGGAGGCGAGGCGACCATTCGCGCGGGGCCGTTTGCAGGCCACGGACCAGTCACGTTTGCCGTCGCGACCAGTAAGGAAGTTCGACAGCGAAATGTCTTTATCGAAATCATCTCGATATTGCTTGGAAAGTAATAGCTTTTGGTGCAAGACCTAATATTTGGAGAAATTGTGGAGAATTCCACAAGAAGTATGAGAAATTCAGAATATATCCAGAATTATTTTTTTGAGTATACCAGAATGAGTATTGAAACCTTCAATTATATTCTTATGAATATTCAACCAGAATTGGAGAAAAAAGTTATTGCAAATAGAATTTTAAGTTCCGCTGAAAAATTGTTTTTGAGATTAAGGTATATTAAATTAATGCTGTGGATGGCCAGACTTCCAAATAGCTGGTCTAGCCAGTATTTCAGTAACAAAAAACTCTGTATTCATTTTTCGCCGCGACCACGACTAAACTTATTTATTCCCTTCTCTATTCGCCGCGACTGCCGCTTGACTCCGTGGCTTGCACCGTACTGATTCATGCATTTGTTTCGCTCGCCCGTCGCGACGTCAGTCGCCCGCGCGATTCGCTCGGTACATTTCGCCGGTCGCATCGCTGGTCGCCGTTGCGCGTGGCTTGATTAGTACATTGCTATGAGTTTATTTCAGTCGCTAGACGCATCGCGGTTCGCACCGCGCGAATATTCGCGTCGGCGAATGTCCCGTGGCCAGGCTGTTAGGAAGGTTTTTTCACAAATATTAATTAGTATTGGTTTAAATATTCAATTTAAATCACTTCCGATTATATATAATTCAAAAAGCATTGCTAAATTTCTTTGAAAAAATAATTAAAACTCCTTTATTTGTTTAAAAGGTAAATGACAAATGTCATTATGGTCATTCAAAATTCTTGGCATACGAACTTCACGCATATTCTATTTCTTTTTACTTGTAGATTGTCTTATTCCTATCTCGCTCGCGCACGCTATAATCACACTCCTAATTTTGTGTCACGGTGTGCGCGCATCGTAAAATTTCACTCTCATCAATTTTTCATAACGCGCCTAAAGTATAACTTCAAAAAAATGTTTTTGTAATGAATACTCAAAAACTACTGGACAGATTCCAAAAGTTCTTTCACTATTAGAACTCAACATTATACATGAGTAACACAGGAAAATAATAAATAAGTAATAAAAACATTTTTTTTCAAAATATTTTATATTCTGATATTATTATTTATTAATATTAAGAAGTAATAGGAACGTATATTAGGCTACTGTAGTAAAAATAATTGTATTCAAAATAAAGTCTGAAAAAACCATAGTGGGATTTGAGGTCGCTGCTATATTACCTTTTCATGTCGACAACACTGTTAATAACAATAATTTCACCGTACTCTACTTGTGCCAAATAAGAATTATATATTTTTCTATTTCAGTCAAACTCTAAGAATTTTTGAAGAAGTACCATGACAAAGATCGTTTCGAAAAAATTACCGCTATGATAACTAATGAATAATCAAATCGATTTTCGTTAAGTTTTTACCACCGCCCATGGACACTCTAAATGCCAGAGGGCTCGCGAGTGCGTTGCCGGCCTTTAAATAATTAATACGCTCTTCTTTTGAAGGTAATTCTTTTAATACACATTTCAGTCTGCTGGCTGTGCCACCATGGTTACGATTTTACTTATAAAACTTACGGTATCCATGACAAATACCGTACGGTACGTTTTATAATAAGGCCATATTTTCTCTTACCTATAGCGTTTTCTTTAGAATCTCTTGGATTACGATCCAATTCGAAGCGTGACGTAAAAACAGCGGCCGAAGTTATTCCCTTTGGTATTGTACGGGTCTCTGCAAATGACAGTGCAAATAATCTTATTATATGTTACTGACCCTTAGGCAATATTGGATTTTCGTTTATACATAATATTTTTATTAACTTGCTAGCTATAGACAATTCAATAATTGTAAATACCTGCATCTATTAATAAGGGTTGGGCTTGCGTAGACATATCGGAAACAGAGTCTCCTAGCATACGAACTGACATCAGTTGACTGCGGCCTATACGTTCGGACTCTAAGGAATCTAGAAAATTCAACGCCCATACAATATTTCTTATCGATTACCGCCTCTTAAGACAAATAAAATAAATAAATCAGTGGCGTTACAACCTTTTTAGGTCTAAGCCTCAGATTTCTGAAACTGTTTCATGATAATTTTCAATAAAATAGGCAAGTGTGATCAACCTTCAGTGCCTGACACACGCCCTCAAATTTTTGAGTCTAAGACATATCGGTTTCCTCACGGTGTTTTCCTTCACCGTTCCAGCGAATGTTAAATGCGCACATAGAAATAAAGTACATTGGTGCACGGCCGGGGATTGAACCTACAACCTCAGGGATATATAACATAATATGTTCAAAAATATAAAAGATACATAACAAAGACTAACCATTCCTGCCTTTATTACTGTATTGTGCACACGTTTCAGTTGTATATTTGCTTCGATCTGTTAAAACAGAAGCGTTCAATAACACTATAGGTTCCGTCACTTCCACTTCCGTATTGGTGCAAACTGTTGATGTTGTCGGGCGAAAATCTAAAAATCACAACCAAAATATAAACAAAATCAGTGGCACTACAACCTTTTTAGATTTGGGTTTCAGATTTCTGTATCTGTTAGTATCAGGCACGTAGGTGATCCGCCTCCTGTGCCTGACACACGCCTGAAAATTTAAAATGTAGAATTAAATTCACATTGATAAATTGCCTGTTAATAGGCGTAGCCTAGGTTCAATTCCCGGCAGAACAATACTTATTTTGGGTTTCCTTCCTCCACATAGGTATACTCGTAGATATGATATCGAGTCCTACACATTGAAATAAAACATCTCTAACGGTTTTATAAATGTACATTAAAAACATAACTAGACTAGTGACTTGGTTCCTGTAAACTAAAGTATTGGTAACATATTTTAACCTTTGCTTATAAAAATTTATTAATACAATACGAGATACAAAAATGTCTTCCCATTCGCATAGGGAGACATTTCTTTGTTTTTATACATTCCTCACGATGTTTAACTTCCCCGTTCAAGCGAATGTTAAATGCGCTCATAGAAAGAAATTCATTGGTGGTAGCCGGGGATCGAACCTACGACCTCAGGGATGAGAGTCGCACGCTAAAGCCACTAGGCCAACACTGTTCATATAAACAAAATATAGACAATAAAGTATAGACTATTTTATTTTTATGGCTATGGAATAAAATAAATTTAAAAAGGGGTGATTGTTTTGTTATTTACAAATGGACACATTTGTATGTCCGTTGCTTTTATATTTTTTGAATACACACCGAAGCAATTATTGTTCCAGCGCATCAAGTACAGCTATGTGTGTAAACACTACACCAAAACGAGATTACGTCGTTATTCAATGAATTTTACATAAAATTTAGTTTTCCTTACAGCGATATTACTCACAATTTACCCAAATTTAGGCGCCGTTAAAATTATTTCAACTTAAAATTTAATTCAACCAATAAAGATTCAAAACCATAAAAAATGTCAAGAGATTACTGAAATCATTTTCAGCTACTTATCTCCAAGTTTATAGGATCGTATAACGTGAGCTTAAGCGAACTCAAATCCACGATAAACTAAGCCAAATGATAATTTCTCTATTACAATAAGTAAATATGGAGTACTATTACGTTACATTAAAGTTTATGAATTGCAAAAAAGCTGTTACAGAAAGCCTTATCGCTTAGAAGCAATGCTTTACAGACATTTTCGTGTAGTGTTGGTCTAACAGGCTTCAGCGTGCTACTCTCATCCCTGAGGTCGTAAGTTCGACCCCCGGCTGTGCACCAATGGACTTTCTTTCTATGTGCGTATTTAACATTCGCTCGTACGGTGAAGGAAAACATCGTTAGGAATTGGTTTAATGAAAGAAATGTTTTCTTGATTGACAGTTTTGTATTTGCTGTGTTAATCAATATTTATAGGCAAAGGTTAAAATATGTTGCCAATACTTTACAGGAACCAAGTCACTAGTCTAGTTATGTTTTTAATGTACATTTATAAAACCGTTAGAGATGTTTTATTTCAATGTGTAGTGCTCGATATCATATCTATGAGTATACCTAGGAGAAACCCAAAAAAAGTATTGTTTTTTTGGGTTTCTTTCCTCCACATATGCATTTGGGAATTGGAGCGTAGAACGGAGGAGAAGAACTGCCAATAAACTCTCCGCCACTCTTTTAAATCGCCAAGTTTTTTGTTTTACACAACATTTATAAGAAGTTGCCACCATTACCTTTACACTACACTCTTAAGTAATAAATATAATGATGTTTGCCAACGGATTAAGACCCATTTACACGATGCCATTTTCTTGCCTGTAGCATACAATTATATCGACGCAATAAATGAGTTGCATGGTCTAAACAAAACGTAACATTCTTGATTAATGGGAAAAGTTTCCTTTCAAAACTATTATCGATATAAACAGCCCGTACAATAATTTCTTACGCAATTCTTGTACGCAATTATCTCTTCATTTGCAAACATGAGTGCAGTAAGTGAGAGTGTGTTGATCGTTGCTGATCTTCTGAGGCAAGAAATATTGAGAAAAACCTCGTAAAAAAGGTGTTGGATCAAAAAAATGGATAGCAAGAAGAGAGGTTCTCGGAGCATCTAACAATCTTTGTTTAGAGTTACAAACAGAAAATGAAGATGACTTTAAGGATATGTTTCGTGTGAACAGAAACAAATTTAAATTTACTTAAATTTTAATTTAATTTTAATTTTTTCGTCCTTAATTTTTTTATTTCGTTTGTTATTTCCTTCGGTCCGAAACCGTCAACTTCAAATTCCTGTGAAAATACTGCTAGCGCAGCATTACGTGCATCGCGGTTCTTATAATTTACATTTTCGGTATCCTGTAAACACTCATGACTGCGATAAATCTCAATGAACTTTATTATATCAGCAGAACTGAATTTAAACACCTTTTACTCATATTCATACCTCTCTGTAGGATGGTTCTAATATTTTAAGGAGACTGAGCGTTGGTGGTCAGGGTCTATTTAAAAAAACAATAATTTATGTTTATAAAGAGCCAAAGATGTTACACTATTCGCGTCTAGAATAGAAGTACTGAAAACCAAAAACAGAAACTATATTTTTATATAAAATTCAAACAGGTATTCTTTATATTCTAAACTAAAACTTTTTATTTACATGTGACAACTGACAAGTGTTGCCTACCACTCTAACATTAATATTTACATATTCAAACTCCAACACTCTCTTCTAAAACATTTAAGACTTGAAAGAAAAATCAGCCAACCCAAATACGTGCAATACTTGAACGAAAGCGCCATTAAATGGTATACGCACGTACAAGCATGTGTTTAAACAAGTCAAAACTTGAAAGCAATAATCTTCTTAAAATAGTTGCATTGATGTAAACAAAAGGCATGTGCAATTATTTCCTTATAAAAACTTGAATACAATAATTGCATTTAAGTGCATACAATTCTTGAATGGCAATTATTGCGCTTCATTTATTGCATTCAATTATTATTGCTCTGGAATGTACAAGAAAATGGCATCGTGTAAATGGCCCTTTAATCTTTAATATATAAGTAGCCAACAGCTTACATACAAATTAAAATTCTTAATTACCTAAAAATGCGATGATTTGAGTATAATATTATTAATGTGTGTCTAGAAAACGAAATGAACAATTTTAGTTACATTATATACGAACCATCATTAAAACTTCGTTGAGAAAGCTGGGCTCCGCAATTGAACGACGCTGTGTCAATCAAATTTGTCGTGGACAGCGCTGAAGGAAACCAAATAATAAATATATTTGCATATTTAAAGTAGAGGAACAAGGATTAAAAATTCCTTCTATTAAAGAACAGTATCGCACTGTATTTCTATAGTAAACACCAGATGTATGGGTGTACTGCTGTGAACTAACGTTACATATATTCGCATACGATGCACAGCAAAGGAGTCTAACAAGATTATGCCTGGACTACAGTAGCTTTACCACGACTTTAAGGTAGTGTGAGATACACACACACATATGTACTTATTCGAAACGGGTGTAAAACGAGAATACATTTTACGAAACAATCATTTTTATTTCTATACCGAGAATGAGAGAATCCATTTTATGAGGGTAGGTATAAAAAAAACTGAAAGGCTCATTTTATTACTACCAAAACTGATGTTTTAAAATTTATTGACTACAAGTGTAAGTTTACGCTTCTAATAATTATGAACTAAAATATATATATATATATGTAACTTAACTAATGTTAGGTTACTACAATTATATAACAATTTCGTAATTAGGCAAATTAGTTTTTAAAAGGCCGGCAACGCACTCGTCAGCCCTCTGGCATTGGGAGTGTCCATGTGGGTCGGTATCACTTAAATCAGGTGAGCCTCCTGCCCGTTTGCCCCTCGTTCTATATTAAAAAAAGTGAATAGATATTATAGTTTTTTTGAGGTACCAGGGTAGTAGACTTAACAAGAGTTCGCTTACCAATATCACATTTTAAATCTCTAATGTCGTTAGTGGAAGTCGAACCGTCGTGTTTCATTTCCTCCAATGTCACGTCTAAACCTTTAAATTATAGAAATAAGTAAGTACTTATTGATCTTTTCATTAAAAAAAAGAAACAAATATTATTTTTATTAAGTTTCTTTAGTAGGAGTCTATAGTTTCCGATAGTATAAAGACGAATGTATGTTCTATATTTATCTAATTGGCGGATTTACCAGCAAGCTGAGTAGGCTTCAGCCTAGGGCGGAAGATTTATGGGGCGGCAAATTTGGGATTTTTTTTGCTACTTCCAAAAAAAAAAGATTTCTGAATGATGACTTTCTCCTCTCACTTGTACATTTGGTGAAGCAAACTGCCATATTTTCGAGGAGGCTGCAAACTGGATGGTTTGTATATAAAACTCAAACCCAATAACATTATTATACGTGCAATTTCAACGAAATTCTTGGATTGTAAAAATAATCTTGGACAAGACATGTGTAAAAACTTTACAGCCTACCCTTGAAAATTTGTAAAGCCGCCGCTGATTTCTCTTTATTCAAACACGACCATACATACATTACATCACCACGATTGAAATACCGGTCGAAGTTGAATTATTAAGAAAAATTAAAATATTCAGTTTTTAAAATAAGATGTTTATTAAACATTTCGAAGAACCCTCAGATAGTAACGGTGTTTGAACCACCTTATCTGGAATAAGCACTTAAACCCATCCTGCATTTGCTCTCCCTGCCTACTGATATCCGTCATGATCATTCGTCCCATCAGAGTAATAGAATTGAGACACTTATTCTCACGTGCTCACTACAGTACATAACAAGACCGCCGTAAAATTGGCGTGGCTATTTAAAAGTCATAATCATTTAATCATATAGGTAACATGTACATTTATGAAAGTCAAAAAAAAATGTATATGTAATGCTTCTAAGTTTACATTTAGCGCCAGTTCTCAAATCAAGGGCGTAGAACGGACGAGAAGAACTGGCAATAAACTTACCGCCACTATTTTTTAATCGCCATGTTTCATTTTTTACACAACGTTTGTAAGGAGCTGCAACCATTACACAATGTTCCACATGACATCTTAAGTAATTAATAATAATAACATAAATTAAAAACAAAGACTTCTATCAGCAGGAGGCATGGTGAAATAGGAGCACGCACTTACTCGTACATTCTCGTGGGAACAACACGCAAACACATAGTCGAAATAACTACTGCCTACACGAATTCAAGTACGACCAGTCACCACAAGAAGCACCCGTTCACGAGTATGACGCATGGCCAGCCATCGGCCATTTATTCAAACATACCTATAGATGTATCCCTTTGTCGTCGTCTGAACAGAGATGGCGCTGTAAAGCATTGTGTATTCTTTGTGGAAACCAAATTTGTGGTCATTGCTGAAAAAAAAAACATTTTCTTTATTATAGTCTATATCGCATGTATCCCTTAATACATTCAACATTAATTGTCTTGGGGATTGTGGGGTACAATAAATTAAAAACAAGACGCGACAGTATACAGTACAGTTGGCCTATTATCTACTTAAAGTCTTGCGGGGGGTGGTAAGCAAACCAAGAGTTCTCCAAGAACTCGGGTTCTTGGTACCTATAGGATATATGGGACGGCGAAGGCCAAGGTTGTTTGCGATACCGAGGGCCAGAACCAGTCTGTCGCACAGATCCCCGTAAACAAAGACGTTGCGATCTTATGTATTTAATATTATATTTCTTATTTTTTGTTTTTTTTTTCGACATTATTGTATTGGTTTAGTAATGGTAGTTTAGTATGTATGTTTTGTGAATAACTATAATAAACAGATTTGAAACATATTTGAGTTCAGGGAACAAATGGGCAGGAGACTCACATTGATAGGAGAGCTCACCAGTGTGTTGCCAGCCTATTAAAAATTGGTATACGCTTATCTTGAGGACCCGTTGAATTAGTTCGAAACAAAAAACTGCCTTAAAATGCTCAGTTTTGGAACCACGGACGTCGTTTATAATTATTATTAATTACCTTACACTATAGTCTGATTTTTCATTTCTTATTCGGTGCTATTCCGTCGGCCATATCATAAGTGTTGCTACAAACAAAGTTCTAAACCGAAAAAGGGACAAATTTGAGGCAATAAAAAATAAAATGATACGTTTTTTTAAGTTGTACCTTTAAAATAGGTTAATCTAAATATTTACTTACTGAAGTGACCTAATACAAACATTTCAATATCACGAACAATATGTCGAATAAACTTAAATTACTTTATTCTATTCTTTAGCTGGTCTCACTGCCTATTCACTTTCAGGTTTAGTAAACCTTTAAAAAATGTTATCATTGCTTGTGCGTTTTTTACTGTTTGTGATGAATAGGGAAAATTATGACTCGCCGTAAAACCACTTAATAAGATATATACATTCAATAACCAATAAAATGTATGAATAGACTCAGATGTTCAGACTCGTATTGAAATTGAAAAATGTACCTGGCCAAAAAGGTTTGTAATCTCTGACATGTCATAAAATTATAGCTGTCACAATTCTACGCAATTACGGAAAAATCAGAGTATAGGCTTTTTAGTAAAATAAATGAATGTTGAAGAACAAAGGTGTAACATAATACCCAACTGCGATTCGGAGTATGACGTCATCCTTCTAATTGCAGCCGCAGACGTCACTACTAATTAAATCAACTTGTCAAATTACCTGTGTTTATAGTACTAGCTGGTTTGCAGAACGCGGAGCAGGTTTGAAGATTGACTGAAGACACTGAAGTTATTTTCGTTCCTGAAATGTTTAAAAACTATGAATGAATTTTTAAGTGAACATTTTTAATTTTGTAAGTAAGGCATGGGCTAAATCACGCCTCGCTTTTTTTTTCATGACAGCCTTGCGATTCTGTAACTCACTTTTCGAACTCACACAGCGGTTTTCACAGCGGCGGTCGCGCTCAAATCAGTCGTAAAGCAGTCATTTTATGATTTGGCATTCTGATATACAACAAACTACATCCTTATCAGAATACCAAATATTAAATGACTGCTTTACGACTGATTTGAGCGCGACCGCCGCTGTGAAAACCGCTGTGTGAGTTCGAAAAGTGAGTTACAGAATCGCAAGGCTGCCCTGTCATAATAATCCAAAAAATCAAGCAACTTAGGCAGTAAGTTTCATTACTTAGCAATAAGAATTTGAAAATCTACCCAAATACTTCAACAGAAGAAAAAACCATTCGTTTAATAGAGTATTTTTAATTCTTTTACGTGATACATAAAAGCAAAGCAAAAGAACAAATAATATTTTTTATTTACGATTTATAGGTAAAAAATCAGCTGCGCTACAACCTCTTTTAGGTCTTGGCCTCTTATTTATGAATCTGTTTCATGATCATTTTTAAATCTAATACGCAAGTAGGTGATACAGTGCCTGATACACGCCATCGACTTTTTGGGTCTAAGACATGTCGGTTTCCTCCTTCATCGTTCGAGCAAATGTTAAATGCGCACATAGAAAGAAAGTCCATTGGTGCACAGCCGGGGATCGAACCTACGACCTCAGGTATGAGAGTCGCTCGCTGAAGCTACTAGGCCAACACTGCTCTTATTTATTACTTATTGATTTATAGGTATACGTTTTCCTAAATTACCTGCACAAGACAATACTGTTCCTTTAGGGGTTTTTAGTTTAGCCAATCCACTATTCTCTAGACGTTTACAAGGGATTAATGTATCTGTGAAAAATCATTAATTTACAGTTAAGATAAAAAAAAATTAGTAACTAAATTTCGAACAAATAATGTGAAACTTTATGTCGCTAATTTCAGAGGAACAAATATACACATTCTAGATTTATTAAGTACACGCATTAATAAATAACTTTTATTGAATACGTTCTAAATAAACTAAAACTAAACTACGCGGTCGCCCTTCGAACTGGTTGCGTAGTGATGAGCGAAATCGAAAAGTGACGCGCCACAATTGTTATGTGATGGTGTTTGACGGTTTTCTTTTTATTGATTTCTTTTAAAATTGAACGTATCGTCAAATGGATACATTCACTAACAAATAAAATGTATGTATAGAGTCAGATGTTGACTCGTATTAAAATTGAAAAATGTGTCCGGCCAAAAAGGTTGTAATCTCTGACATGTCAAAAAATGATAGCTGTCAGAATTCTACGGAATTAAACACTATACTCTGTATAGTTGTCAATAAACCATAAACACAATAGACGCCAAAAGTGTGTCTGGTCCATGTCCCAATCGGTGACGGTACTTAATTGTATAATTCAACATTAATTTAAATTAGAGTATAATATAAATAGACACAGTGCTTAAAAACTATAACCAGCTACAGTAATTTCAATGAATTTTACTTGAATTTTTACTTCTTTTAAATTGTTGCCTACTATGTTGAATCTTGTACATTTCATATATCAATTTTATTTACCAGTAATAACACTTGGTGTATCTTGAAAGCTTGATTCTGTGGTTAGTGTGCCGGTAGATATTTTTAAATTTGATGTATAATTTGGTGTTGCCATCGTCGCATTTGATTCTATAACAATGTGTTCTTACTTAGCATCCAAAAATTATTCGAATTCACAAAAAATATCCATATGAAAATAGTATAATATTAATCAATCTCAATTTCTCAATATAAGTCTTTTTTATTATTAACCTTCGGTGGAGAACCGAACCCCGGACTGAGTTTTAAATTACCGATAAGCCCCAAAGGCCTTTTTTGGATAACCGTTCTTTGAAATAAATTCAACAAAACTTTCATTATTCAATAATTCAATTCGTAATATTAAAAACTAGCGAAATACTTCATTAACTATGTAGGATAGAATATATAATATTTTAATTATTTTGTGTGCATGGTATGAAATGTAAGTAATGCCTAAAAATAATTTATTTCTAATTTTTGTACGTGAGTAGTATAAAAGTATACTTAAAAATTCCATATTAATGAATGTTTTGTCACATGTATTTATTTACAAAGTGATAAAGACAAAACATTCATAACTATTTAAAGCTTCTATGTTTCTAGACAATTAATACACTTACCATTTTTACTTTTGTCCTTTAAAGTAAAATGAGTAGAAGTAGCTGTTGCACGTATTAAGTTGGATTTGTCTGAAACTGGAATTGATAAAATAACTATTAATTTATTTTGAAACAGACTCAAAAGTAAAAATGTAATTCGCAAATAAAAGTAGGCGAGGATTTTAATAGTAATGTATAGGTACTGACGTATGAAATGGCGCCAAACCAGCCACAGATTAGTGTCATTATATCAGGGCATAGAGTATACAGAGCGCACTTTCAAGCAAAAATAATAATGAAAACTATTTGGTGATACAAACTTTTCGGAAATGACGTCTTATTTTGTTTGAGCAATAGCGTTTTTAATTTTTATTCTCGATATTGTGCTTACGTCATTAGACTTTCAAAGTTCAAATATAACCATTAAAGATTGAGTTTTGTTTAAAATTAGAAAAGTTTTTCAATCTAATATTGTTAGAAGATTCATAAATAACAAATAGCAACTAAAAATGCTTCAACACTTCAAGCTTAAAATATAAATTTTACCATCTGTTTTCTAGTAGTATGTAAAATAACCTTTATTTGAGATCAGCTGGATGGAATCATTTCTTTTTGAGTTTTCGCTTGGAAGCATAGATTCAGCTTTTATGGTAACGGTAGGAGAAATCGGTAGAGGGTTTATCATCATGTCTGTACCTGAAAAACAACGGTATTTTATTGGACTATGAAATCGTTTGCTTTATTCTTACATTATAAGGATTGCAAAAATTCTTTCCTCGCATCCTGCCGAGACTAATTTACTAACAAAAATCGATCATAAAAAAAAAATCTGTGGCACTACAACCTTTTTGATTTCGGAATTTGTTTCAAGGTCATTTTTCAATCTAGACATGTCGGTTTCCTCACAATGTTATCCTTCACCGTTCGAGCAAATGTTAAATGCGCTCATAGAAAGAAAGTCTATTGGTGCACAGCCGGGGATCGAACCTACGACCTCAGGGATGAGAGTCGCACGCTGAAGCAACTAGGCAAACACTGCTCGTTATCGACCTCGCCTTCGTTAAGGATTGAGTTTTGTTTAATATTAGAAAAGTTTTTCAATCTAATATTTTTAGAAGATTCATAAATAACAAATAGCAACTAAAAATGCTTCAACACTTCAAGCTTAAAATATAAATTTTACAATCTGTTTTCTTATATAGGAGTAGTATGTAAAAAAAACCTTTATTTGAGATCAGCTGGATGGAATCATTTCTTTTGGAGTTTTCGCTCGGAAGCATAGATTCAGCTTTTATGGTAACGGTAGGAGAAATCGGTAGAGGGTTTATCATCTTGTCTGTACCTGAAAAACAACGGTATTTTATTTGGACTATGAAATAGATTTATTTATTCTTAAATTATAACGATTGCAAAAATTCTTTCCTTGGTTGGTTGGTTGCATGGTTAATGTTGTGTTCCTCACGATGTAATCCTTCACCGTTCGATCGAATGTTAAAATATGCGCACATAGAAAGAAAGTCCATTGGTGCACAGCCGGGGATCGAACTTACGACCTCAGGGATGACTAAAGCAACTAGGCTAACACTGCTAGTTATCGATCATAAAACCTCACCTTCGTTAAGACATCTAGAGGGGTAAATGTGGCCTTAGATCACTACCTTGTCATGGCCCAAGTAATGGGTGGGATCTCTAACGATAAAACAGACAGAACTTACACAATAATTCAATATGGAAGCACTGAGAGATAATGTGTTGAAAGTGCTTTATTCAAGCAAACTGGACGACCGACCTACTTAACTGGAATAATATATAATAATAATAACTTTAAATTAACCTTTATTTGAGATTAACTGGATGGAATCATTTCTTTTGGAGTTATCACCGGGAAGCATTGACTCAGCCTTTATGGTAACGGTAGGAGAAATTGGTAGAGTATTTATGATCATGTCTGTACCTGAAAACCAACGATATTTTTTTTTCACTATAAAGTCCATTATATTCTTAGAATAGAATTGCAAAATCTACCATCAGCCGGATGCGTCATTTATTTAAAAATCGCAGTCATGCTCACTACAGGCCGCTAGTTATGTATTCATAGCAATTTGTATGGAGCTAATTATTCGTGAAGTGAAATGACTAAAGTTTGGCGCTTTATATCTGTACTAGAAAAAGTATTTGATAATTCATTAACATAGTTCTTTTTTAAAAACAATTATTATAACCTGTCTATGTATTTTCATATAGTACAAAGAAATTTTTAAATAATTGCATTTGTTCAATAAAAATTAAAGCTTTTCTTGTATTAAAATCAATTCTTTGTATTACAATACAATAAAAAAATACCTATATTGCTGTATGTATTTTTCAAATCTGTATTTGTTGAAAGGCTGCAATCGCAATAAGCCGGAGGCACTTTTGTTGGACTGCATTTTATTTCTCCAGCTGAAATAAAATACTTATATTTTTCTACGCGAACCATAATCTTATACTAAAATTATCGTGAACGGAATGTGAATGAAGCGACTTCTTTCTATTTCAATTCGTTGTGACCTTTGTTTCTGTAATTTTTTCAAAATCCTAGCTTCAAAAGCAACGAGTTTTATAAGTGTTCCAATTAATTACATAAATATGAAAATTAATATGACATTTGCATGCTATTTTTAAATGGCTGATTGTGCGGATTTTTATAATTTATCGATCTAAATGTACCACTTTCTTTGCAAATAAAGGATGTATTATTATTATTAATATAGGCATAAAATATATAGCCTCTTCTTCACAATTAAATCGGTATATTTTTTGTGATACCTTCAGTATTTAAGATATTATGCGTAACTGGAGGAAAATTGTTTTCCTACCTACGTCAAGAATCAAAAATGTCAAATATTAGATTTCGTTTTTGGTTTTACATACTTAAGCAGTGTTAGCCTAGTAGCTTCAGCGCGCGACTCTCATCCCTGAGGTCGTAGGTTCGATGCCTGACTGTGCACCAATGGACTTTCTTTCTATGTGCGCATTATACATTCGCTCGAACGGTGAAGGAAAACATAGTAAGGAAACCGACATGTCTTAGACCCAAAAAGTCGATGGCGTGATTAGATTGAAAAAAGATCATGAAACAGGTTCAGGATTCTGAGGCCCAGACCTAAACAGGTTGCAGCGCCACATATATTTTTTTTCCACTTTTATGCTGCTTCCAATAAATGATTGATTATCATTGATTTAGTTTCCAAGCGAATTTATAGAAAATAAATTATAAATCTGTGGTAGTATGCTATCGTAGCTACCTCGTAGCAACATCAAACAGGTGGTCTGACTGCGTAGCATTCCGTTACTTTGTTACAAAATTATAGTTTAATTCAATTCAATTTAAAATACCTTATTTAAAAATATAATTAATAACCCGATCGGAAACACTCTACTTATCCATTGATAGTATAAATTAATTACCTGTATTTGAAGAGTTGTTTGCTCTTGGCAGATTACATTGGCAAATATTCGATGAGTTTATTGGAGGAGCTTCTATCGTCGGTTTAAATGTTATTTCGGTGGCTGAAAGTACTATTTATTAACTAAGCTTATCCATTTCACAGCAGTGTTGGCTTAGTGGGTTCAGCATGCGACTCTCATCCGTGAGGTCGTAGGTTCGATCCCCGCCTGTGCCCCGCCGGTGAAGGAAAACATTGTGCGGAAACCGACATGTCTTAGAAAAGTCACCAAAAAGTCGACGGCGTGTGGCACACGGAGGCTGATCACCTGCTTGCCTATTAGATTGACAAATGGTCATGAAACAGATACAGAAATCTGAAGCCCAAATCTGAAAAGAATGTAGCACGACTTTTATATATTTTTAAAATTTTATTAATAACTTCAAATTACAGTGAACATTAACGTGTAATATCATGTTATATTTTTAAAATAATTTAGAGTTTTCATACAATTGCAGTCGTAACGATGACATCGAAGCAATAAATTCAAGATTATGACATCAAGAGTTAGAATGGTCTAAGTAACAGCTTTATGAGTCGGAAGCCTCGCACTATAACCCTTTGACTAATAGTTGTATATCTTTGTAAGGAAATAGTATTGTATGTTACAATACAATTCTGAAATACCGTATATCGTCTATACATATTATATACTGTAAAAAAAATTGATCTAATTTGACGGTCACCGTATACATTGAAAAATTATGCCTTAAATTGGAGATTCCTATTTTGACATATGTGCGAACAAAAAGTGATCAAAGCTGTACATTTACCTGCATTATGACATGTGATCATCATATTCGGCGGATAAATTTGACGCGGCATTTCGTTTTTAAAAACCAGTGCGCTAACAGTACTCTTCGGCAAACACATTGTATCTGTGAAACATAATACTAAATAGGTCATATATACTATGGTTTTGTTAATGCACCTACGTAATCATTGGCCTAAAGGTCTAGATACCAGGCAATAAACTCCAAAAAAAAAAAAACCTACGTAATCTGTGATGGGCGCGAACTGTCATTCATGTGTACAGTTCACTAATTAATTAATTTTTAAGTTAAAATTTAGTTAAAACATTAATTAAAAAGCAAAAAGTTTTATGATTTCATCAGCTCCTTATAAAAAAAAACTTTTGTGATTAAAAGAAAGTAATAATAATAATAATACCTATATGAATAAATGATATTTAGATTTAAAACAGAACTACATCAGTTATCTATGTAGTACAGGACAGGAATGTACGGGCTGGTGTCCCAAAGTCACCTAACACGCATTAGCGTGCATGATATATTTGTTTCCCCATATAAGCTTAAAACGACTTTGGTGAAATATAATAAAATTAAATACACAACAATGCCTAATATATGAACCTTAGATAAAAATAAGATTTTTTTAAACACTAAATAGAGGTGATACAAAAAAATATCATATCATTCGAATTCTTTGTGTAACCGAACCAAACCAGATTAGATAACTTTTACTTAGTTACGTTTAATAGTATTGTCTTTTATTAACATAACTTTTACACATTTAATAAAACAATTTTTAACCGGATTGAAGTTAAATTTAAAATTATGAAAAATAATTGTAATACATAACTTCAATCCGGTTAAAAATTGTTTTATTAGTTATGTTTAAATTCCTTGTGATAATGATATTCTGAGCTAATTATTAAATATATTACTTTTTAAATACTTCATAAACCCAGCTCTCTTTATACGTGACTTATAATTTTTTTCGACTAAAGTCAAGACGACCTCAACAAAAAAAAATCAACAAACCTGAACACTGATCTACTTTTTGAATCAATGTACATTCTAAATTTGTAGACGTACTTTTAAGGCAGGCTCCTGGAATAGAAATATATAATATTAAGTCAAAAGTGCAAGCAACTTTTATTAATATACAGTAATTGTAAGCTTATACTTACAATTACTGTATATGCTAAGGAGAGCCAAAGAATAATTTACTTTAATTGGCTTTGGTTGTAACTGCTTTCCCAGGAAAGCTAGAAACTCCTTACTGCGACACTTTCATGTCTATTTTTTTTTAAATTATTTAACTCAATTAATTGAATGCGTATAAATGCTGAGGATGAGGTTATCGCCAAAACTGAAGCCTATTTCTAGGCTAAATACATACTATTATAAATATGATATCGAAATTTTTATAACCTTTATAATCGTTGTATCGCTTTCGAAACTATATTGAATAGTCGAATCAAATTCCATTAAAAATAAAATTTTTTTCTGTGTTTGCCTACGCAAACGGTTCGGTTCGGTTACGCAAAAATAGCTATTCACTTAAAAACAAATACTACCGTGATTCTAGTTTTATATAAGTACAATCATACAAATAGTATATTTTTGGTAAAAATTATTTTCTTAATGCAAACAATTATTCATATTTGTATGCCCAAGTTATTTTCAATGGCCTCATTTACTTCAGAATCTTTGTTCAAATAAAAATAAGGATAGAAAGAGATTTCGCGAGAGCGTCTAGTATTATAATGATGTCTTTAAGGGACAAAAGAAAAAAAAAACATTTTGCGTTTTCTTGTCGAGGGGTCTTCGTCCTTTTCCTTGCTTGAGTGGCTTTTAGAAATAAAATAAGATAACAGGCTCTAGGTGGGTCTTTTGAACACCAAAATAAGGACATGCTAATTTTATTCAAAAATTGCAATATATTATTGAAAGTAAATTGGCGTTTATATAGTTAAATAATAGTGGTAGACATATATTTATTTATTAAAAAACTAAAAATTAACAAAAAAAATATGTTTTCAAAATCTTTAAATAAGCATGTGCCGTAGTTAATAACTTTAGCGATTTTGCACGCCTCATTAGCAGAGCGGAGGCTGTGCTCTACTCTCGACATGTCAAAAAACCCAGTCTTTCGAAACTTGAATGACTTTTTTCTCACTAATATAACACTTACAGGATAATATGAGTGCACTAAAATCGAGTTAAATAATCTATCAAGCACATATGGTATTTTTTATGAACAATTATTTTGTTTAACATAGTAAACAATAACATTAAAATCAATCATTCTTGGACGTCCGTCAGTCTGTGTTTATGGATCCATGTATGTGACAGAGAAATTGGTCGAAAAATGTATCGTACCAGAATACTTTTTTCTTATTATATTAGGTCCTTACATATGAAATTGGCGTTTTGTATGGGAGGAACAAAAAGTCGAATATTTTTAAATATAATATATTTAATTAATCAAAGTATGAACCATTGTTTTCTATACACTTTTGCCATCTCATAGGTAGTTCATTGATCCCATTACTAAAAAAAACAGTCGGACGGGAATCAATAAAATCTGTGAAGGCGATTTGGACTGCCCCATCAGAGTTAAATTTTTTCTCTTGCAATAAGTTGTGGAAATTACGAAAAAAATGGTAATCTGTTGGAGCAAGGTCCGGGGAGTACGGAGGATGTCTTAGACATTCCAATTGAAGCTCTTCTAATTTGGTAGCCGTCTGTTGTGCAGTGTGTGGTCTAGCGTTGTCGTGAAGTAGCAGTGGCGTGGAGCGATTGACCAGCCTAGGTTGTTTAGCCGCTAGCTTTTCCATCATGGTTTGCAATTGCTGACAATAGACATCAGCCGTAATAGTCTGGCAAGATTTGAGAAAACTGCAATGAACAATACCGGCACTAGTCCACCAAACGCTTAGAAGTAACTTTTTTGGGGTTAATTTTCGCTTGGGGCAGGATTTGGCTGGCTGGCCAGGATCCAACCATTGCGCTGAGCGCTTCCGATTATCGTACAGAATCCATTTTTCATCACAGGTAATGATTCGGTTTAAAATACCTTCATTATTGTGCCGGTTCAGTAATGTAACGCAGCAGTCGACGCGCGTTTGCCGGTTTGCTTCAGTCAATTCTTGAGGTACCCATCTTTCAAGCTTTTTAATCTTCCTAATTTGCTTCAAGTGAATTAAAACAGTTTTATCACTAACACCGCAGCCTGCAGCTAACTCTGACGTGGTTTGCGATGGATCCGCTTCCACAATAGCCTTCAATACTTCATTATCAACTTGGGTCTCGGGCCGTCCACGGGGCTTGTTCTGCAGGTCGAAATTTCCAGAACGAAAACGTTGGAACCAAAAACGAACTGTGTTTTCTTTTGCAACATGACCGCCATACACATCATTCACCCTTCGAGTCGTTTCCGCAGCACTAGTGCCACGGCGGAACTCGTACTCGTAAATAATGCGATACTTTAAGTTTTCCATTTTGTAAAATGAGTGACGCAAACAGAAAAAAAACAGAAGAAAAAAACAAATGAATGACGGTCATCGAAGCACAAATACATGAGTAAATAGCTGTACAAATTTGAATTTGGAATTCCTTACCAAAGAGGAGAACATCGTGATTAAAGTGGCCAGTACGAAATACGCCAATTTCATATGTAAGGACCTAATATAAAGTTATACCCTGGGCTGATTCCTAGTTAATATTAGCGTTCTAAGTACTGTCGTTTAATTATAATTTGTAAAAAACTACAATACGACTGTGTATTTGTATATCTATATATACATTTATTTTAGAATTTTTTTTAAATATGAATGACCGCTATGAGGCGTGCACTTTTGGATTTTCCAAACTTTTTTGGTTTACGAACGCCCGCCCAAGGTGTTGAGAGGGAGTAGGGAATTGGGTGTAAAACTAGCTCTGGCAGATGCGCACAGGCATCGAATGATACAGTTTTTATAAAAATCTCGGAAGGAAAATACTTGACGTAAAAAAAAAATTCTTATACAAACCTTCAGTTTCAATATATTTCGAGTTTTTCATAAGTTCACTTCCCCGAAGTTTAGGTTCCGTTGAAAATTTTGATTTTTGAACCGATATTGCTTCAGATATCATTTGAGGTTCTAAAATATGTTTTTAATTAATTATGTACAGTTTTTTTTTAAAATTAAAAAAATTGTCGAGTGTTGCTAAATTGAAAGAAACGGAAAAAACATAACAAATCACTATTTAAAAGAAACCATATGTCTGTGAAAAGTAGAAATGATTATTAACGCGTAAAAATATGTCGTATCTATTCTACTCTTGTTAGAAAGAAAACGATTACAAACTTACTTTGTTTCTCGACAACCATTGGAAATATAGAAGGTCCAACATTCACGTGATTATTCTTAGGTACAGTGGAAGTATTCGATCCAACTGTAAAAGAAATATATTCAGGCAAAACCTTCATGAAGTAGTTATACAGACCTATACACATATTTTATATTTTATCTGCCAAGGCTGTACATTTTGCTGAATCAGGCTTTTATAGTTTTATAAGCGTGGCGATTTCTTTCGAAGTTACGCCCCGAGAGTATAGCCAGCCGTAGGCACTCTCTTCAACTGTTAAGATGCGTACAGACTATATATACATAACATGTTATACAACATTGCTATACAACATGTTTCAGATAATGTGGACACTGAATGTTATAAAACATGTTATAATAACATGTTATTTATATGTGTGCTAGGACGAACCCAGCATCTACGTTTTCTTGTGTTTCTTTTGTTATTTAAAATTACAACAGTCGCTGCCGCAGCCAGTAAAACGTCCTTTCGTGTCGACATTGTGGATAGCACTGGAGGTTGGAGAACGACAAACGACACACACGAATAACAATGCAATATATCATTGTTATATTGCATTGTTATTCTAATGTGTACAGTATTGTTTTATGTTATAATGTTGAATAACAATTACATAATGTGGACGTGTTATAAAACACAAGTTATATAATATGTTACATAGTCTGTACGTACCCTTACATTGCATTCATTCGTTACATACCAATTGTCAATTCATTATTTAGCTTATAATGTATTGTCATACGCGACTGCTCAATATAGAGTAAAACTAAGATATTCTATTATTTTAAACACCCCGATGATGAGGGTTTCGGGGCGTAACTCCGATGATTTAGGAAATCGCCACGCTTATAAAACTAAGATATAATAATATGTACGGCCTTAGCTCATATAAATGATAAAATATAACACACATACAAAATTTATTAGAAATTTATAATGACAGATAAAATAATTTTGATATATATCCAATCTATTTGGCCTTCAAAGAGGTATATTCTGTACGAATTATAGAAACAATCTTTATCCCTAATTTATATTTTTATATACAGAAGTGAAAATTAGTTCTAAATTCCTGCTTATCTTAAACGTAAAACTGGTTGTTAGGAAATGACAGTGAAAAACGCTTTGTAAATTAATGCTTCAAAAATTACACCACATCTACGCTTGTAAATATTTTTAGTATTCTATACTTATTAAAAATGGCATAGAAGTTGACACTTGGCACAGACACAAAAATTTAAAGGCATGTGCCGGGACTGTTTTTTTAGTATTATGAAGCCAAAGAGTTTGTTTGATTTAATACGGCTTTAAGGCTTTGTTAGGCTTAGCTTATCAAGAACATAGCCTAGAATAAAGGCTTGTAAAAGGTTAAATCCAAACAATATATTAACCTAATTCATTCCGTGTAGCTACTTGGACATTTTCCGTAGTAATTGCTGCCGATTTCTGAGCCATCGCCCGTGCTGACGTACCTAAAACGTAAAAGCTTTTTAAGTCGAATTTTCCGGCGATTTCCACAAAATTGTAATACATTTTTGTAGTCAAAATTTTCATATATGCAAATTATTTTTCACAGGCAGAAATTCTTTGATGAATGGTGAATCTTGCTATATAATTGTTAATAATAATTTATACAAATTCTTATATTATTTTATCACTACATCTTCACATTATTAAAATATATCAAATTAATATTAATTTTAATGTTTCAATTAAAATAATCATTAATATAATATAATAATCATTATATAAGTATATGTAGATTGGGGATTCAACCTACGACCTCAGGGAGTCGCATCCTGAAGCCACTAGAACATCACTGTCTGGTTAGTATACTGTTTTGTATATTTAGGTACTTTTTTAGCTGTGTGCGTTTTTGTCGTTATACATAACTATTACGTTATACATAATGAAATCAAGTATTTATGATGAATTATATAAATTCAATTAAATGGTTAGTGTTCTTATTATAGAATAGTTATTATAATGTTATATTTTTTTGAGACCAATGTTAGCTTAGTGGCTATATAATATCTACGACAAATCTTTGTTTTTAATTTATTTTATTATTATTAATTACTTAAGATGTCACGTGGAAGATGGTGTAATGGTTGCAGCTCCTTACAAACATTGTGTAAAACAAAAAACTTGGCGATTAAAGAGAGTGGCGTAGAGTTTATTGTCAGTTCTTCTCTTCCGTTCTACGCCCTTGTTTTGAGAAATGGCAATAAATGTAAAATTAGAAGTATTTCATATATATTTATTTTTTGACGTTCATAAGTGTATTTAAATTTTCTTACCTATATGAATAAATGAAATTTGAATTTTCTAGTATCAATTCAGGCTTTCGGTAAGTTATTGAAAAGGCAACGAATTAAGACTTATTATACTATAACTCATATAAATGGCAAATTTTATTCCGCTTTTATCATAACCTACGTACTTCTATGTGAGATAAATGATACGTTTAAATTTCGTATGTGAATAGAATAAAAATTTAGTACTTAAATAATTTTATCTAAATGTCTTACTGAAACTAAATTCGAAGTAAATTTAAGATAATCTAATATATTGAGAAGCATTTCTGTCAAAATTTATGTCTTATAACTGGTTTTAAACGCGTTGGACGTCGAGACTAAATACGAAATTCCACCCGTATCACCTCAACGTTCGTCGTTCTATAATTGAGCGTTATGGCAGTTTCTGCCGCGCACCACCGCCATGTAGCACCAGCTGCCCATTGAAGTATTTCCGAATCACTTCGATTTAGGGTCATCCAAAACAGCGGACCAATTCTTAAAAGGTTGGCAACGCACTTGCGAGCGCGCTGGTATTGTGGGTGTCCATGGGCAGCGGTATTTACATCAGATAAGCTAAGTTTCGTTTCTGAATCTTACCCATAAACATCAAGCATTTAAATTCAATATTTAAAGAAAATCATCTACGAATTTTTTTAATGAAATGATTTAAACTATTGGTTACCTGTTTCATGATAGACAAGCATCGTCGTTTGAACGTCGGCATTATCGAAATGATACCGTTGTAGATAATGTAACATTCGAACTGAAACAAATTAATTATTTAAAAACTATGTTATAATTCTTATATTTATTTTATTAACATTTCTTTGCTTACAATAAAATAATTAGAAGTCTAAAAACACAAGTACCCTATATAATGTGCGCTGTGGCATGGTGCGGGTGAAAGTTTTTTTTTTAAGATTCAGTAACGTTTTCACTCTTGAAAGTAACCTTCATTTCAGCTGAACCACATTCGTAATATATTAAATCATTAATAACTGTAGTAACTTAAATTTAACCCAGCCAGATTGATCTAGTCTAAAAATAACATCAAATTGAAAGAAAAATTAAGCAACTGTCACCTGAGCAAATAAAACTCTACAAACAAATTTTTATAATGGTTCGATTAGTCTTGACACTAGATTTAAGATTTGACTAAAGTACTTTTGTTTCATCATGTGTTTTGTCTGTTTCTGTCAAATTGGGTTTACACACAGAAGACAAGACTTGCGTATTCAGTTTTTCAGAAACAGGAAACCACTACTATAGTTAATAAGGTACAAATAAATAGGAGGGAACAAGCGTGTACATACGACTTTGAATTTAAAAATGATTAAATTTGGTTTATTCTACTATTATTGATCATATTAACTCAAAGAAATCTAAAATAAAATCAATTTCAAATAAAATCCCATTCGAATTCAGTATTTCAACGCGTAAATAAGATCAGAAATTGTGTAGAGAAAATTTCATTTAGAGTGGTTTTTGTCTGAGACACCTTTCTTAGAAACTACATTTGACAAGTATAATTCTATAGGAGTCTGTGGAAATTCACGACACATTGAACTATTATAGTACAATCGTACTTGGTCGCAATATTAAGCTATAAAATTAAAATAACGACTTCAACCTTTTTCGGTCTGGGCCTTAGATTTCTGAATCTGTTTCATGATCATTTGTCAATCTAATAGGCAATTGGTGATTAGCCTCCTGTGCCTGACATACGCCGTCGACGTTTTGGGTCTAAGGCAATCCGGTTTCCTCATGATGTTTTCATTCACCGTACGAGCGAATGTTAAATGCGCACAGCCCGATCGAATCTACGACCTGAGGGATGAGTGACGGACGCTGAAGCCACTAGGCCAACACTGCTCAAAATTAAGCTATACTAATTTAATAACGAGGATTTTTTTAAAATAAAATATATGTGCTCTAATGCTAAATTATTTCTGAACTCACCAGTCAAGACAGGCTATTTAATATTGTGAATAATTTAAATGAGATTTTGAAGAGTTTGTGTTTTGTTTAGTCGCCTAATTTCAGGAATTCTATTTAAATATTCTATTAATAATTCTATTTAAAAAAAAAAACTCAATCGATTGAATCTATAAATTATTAATCTTTGTAACATTGACTCAAGTACGACTGTATTATTGTTTAGTCTACCATTAGATATACACATATATAAACTATCTGACCCAGTAAACGTTGTTTTGCCATGTATATTATTTCTAGGAAATTTTTTTTAGTTTAATAAAACTATCTACTATAATAAAAAATAGGGGTTGATCGTAGAGGGGTGAAAAGTCAGGGTTGTCAGGTAGGTGTTGAAAAGGTAGGAAATTGTAGTTTATTGTTAATCAGAATGCCAAATCATAAAATGACTGCTTCACGACTGATTTGAGAGCGACCGCCGATGCGAAAACCGCTGTGTGAGTTCGAAAAGTGAGTTACAGAATCGCAGGGCAGGATCCAACCATTGCGCTGAGCGCTTCCGATTATCGTATAGAATCCATTTTTCATCACAGGTAATGATTCGGTTTAAAATACCTTCATTATTGTGCCGGTTCAGTAATGTAACGCAGCAGTCGACGCGCGTTTGCCGGTTTGCTTCAGTCAATTCGTGAGGTACCCATCTTTCAAGCTTTTTAATCTTCCCAATTTGCTTCAAGTGAATTAAAACAGTTTTATCACTAACACCGCAGCCTGCAGCTAACTCGGACGTGGTTTGCGATGGATCCGCTTCCACAATAGCCTTCAATACTTCATTATCAACTTGGGTCTCAGGCCGTCCACGGGGCTTGTTCTGCAGGTCAAAATTTCCAGAACGAAAACGTGGGAAGCAAAAACGAACTGTGTTTTCTTTTGCAACGAGACCGCCATACACATCATTCACCCTTCGAGTCGTTTCCGCAGCACTAGCGCCACGGCGGAATTTGTACTCGTAAATAATGCGATACTTTAAGTTTTCCATTTTGTAAAATGAGTGACGCAAACAGAAAAAAACAGTAGAAAAAAAACAAATAAATGACGGTCATCGAAGCACAACTAGATGAGAAAATAGCTGTACAAATTTGAATTTGGAATTCCTTACCAAAGAGGAGAACATCGTGATTAAAGTGGCCAGTACGAAATACGCCAATTTCATATGTAAGGACCTTATATTTTATATATAGCAAACACTATAACACGGCAGTGTCGAAACCACACTTATATATATTATTAACATTAAATACAACTTACATTTAGTATACTTAGTTGACTTAGACCAATCTGAAAATCTCTGCGTAGTTTTCTTCCACACTCGATTCAAGCGATGTTTGCAGACGCGGCTTAATGCAATTCGGTTTTTCAATTTCACTAATCTTCTAGACACTGCAGGAGAACGTTTACTATAATATTCTATTTGAATATAATAGCATTTTTTATTAAACGTTTAAGTTATAACTTAGGTTTATATTTAAAATGACAGTGATATTTATTTTCTCATGTTTACTTATTGCCGTTAGTAAATTAGCTGTTCCAATTTTAAACTAGTTATCCATACAGCCAGGTCTTGTTCTTCGTAGTAATTGGAGAATTTTGGTAGTTTTAAAGGCCGAAGCCACGTCTTCATTGTTCTCGGTCATAAGGCCTAAGCCACTTCTTCGATGTTTTAAATTGGTCGAAGTCAAATTTAAACTATTTCCGACCCAAAAGCAACAAACGGCTGGCGTTAGGTCTTTTAGACAAAAAAATATGTGGGTAATAAATAGCGACTAATTATGTGTCGAACAAGCACGCGTCTTATAATCGTGAATGGATGTTATATTTTCTGCAATAACTTTCGAAATATTTTACGAAATTATGGTTCGTGTATAAATGTGATATTTCGACGCCTACACCTAGATTTTCCCGCCCTTATCATGGAATGTGGGCTTAATATGGTACCGTACGTGTTGCTATGGTAACCAACGTATTATTTTAGTCTGCACGTAGATAAAATTCAAATCTATATCACTAACTGCCAATCAACTCCTTTAATTTTTAAACAATTTAGAATAAATTATGGAATAAGCCTTACTTTTATCTCTCTTGGTAGGATAATTCCTATACTTATGGCACTTTTTGCACCTCCCGTGCGAGTCACGAAGGTTTCGCCGATCATTGTCGCGTCCAATCACTTCCTTCCGCCAACAATAATGGTAGAAATATTCGTGATAGCTGCAATTATCTGAAATATTATACCAAAATTGAGAATTTATTTCAATTCTAGTAATTTTGTATTTATAATAAATGATATAGAAACATTAATTATATACCAGGTACAATTTCTTTATGATTTATCTAACAGGAGGCAGGAGGTTTACCTGATGTTAAGGGATACCGTCCGCCCATGGACAGTCACATTGCCATAAGGCTTGCAAGTGCGTAACTGGCCTTTCAGGAAGTACGCTCTTTTCTTGAAGGCATTAAGTCGAATGGATTCGGAAATACTTCAGTGGGCAGCTGGTTCCACATAGTGGTGGTGTTGTGGCAAAAACTGCCATAAGAAACGCTCAGTTGTGGAACGACGGACGTCGAAGTGATACGGATGGTATTTTTTATTGACGATGATTTTTCCGATGATGAAACTCAGCTGCAGGTATTAATCCGAACACAATTTATTCGTAATTACTCTATTAAAGTCATAGATAATATAAGTCTTAGTGTTGTCCTCATTTTTTAATCAAGCGTATCTTCTGTGATTGACTTTAGATCTTGGTATCCAGATCAATCGAAATTTCTTAGATGATTATTTATATAATCACCTATAAATGAGGCATACAGTACGCCGGCGCTATTTCGATAATTTTGATGTTAGTCAATTTTGTAGCAATACTGTATAATTTATCAAGTATTTTGAACCAGTACCTGGATATTTAAAGGCGGAATAATCACTTGATAATTCCCTCTGACCGTGCCAAGTACTGACAGTCGTCTCTGATTCCTTAGAGGTCTTGAAGATAGTACTGCATTGCGAACTTGGTAATCTCCAGTCCAACTGATCAGTTATCTCGCTTACATCATCTAGCACCTGGCTTGAGTTCGGTAGATTTTCTTTGCCATTCAATGTGCTGGGTGTGTCTCGTCCTAATAACATAGGTAGATTGTTTTAATTGAGAATATTTGACGTAAATATAGGATATTTATTTAGGAGATTTTTAAGACTAAAGGAAATTATTTAACAATATTTTATACAGGTAATGTTGGAATATTTATACACATATGCGTTTAGTAACGTAAGAGTAAGTATTACGTAAGGTAAGTTTGGGGGGGGGGAGGTTAAAGCGTTACGACGCGTTACGAAGCGTTACGGGCGGTAGGGGGGAAATGAATAAATATATTAACTCGATTAAAGTAATAAAAAAGGTATTTTGAACACGTTACGGTACTTAATTTTAACTATTAAGTAAACATGGTCTTTTGGTTGGTTTGGAAGACGTTACAAGTCAAAAATTGCGTTACATAATAATGTAACTCGAACGTTCCCATATGTGAGACAATGCCGTTTTATTGTTAGCCAATTCTATGCAAGCAGAGTTTTTCTTACAAAAGCGTTATATAAACCAATGTATAATATTTGAAATATTGCAATTTTTTGTTCATTGTTTGCAATAGAGTTATAAAATTATTGGTCGTCTAACACACCTTCTGTTTCGAAATTGGTGGTTTTCTGCAGAACCTCCGACGCACATTCAACATACGAAGGCACACTTGGGCCTGCACTGGTGCCATGTTCTCTTTTATTAGTTGGATTCGGTGTTGACGGAAACTTGAATGTTGCGTAAAAACCTGCGTAAAAAACAACATTCGGATTGCTTTCACTTTTACTATGACCTCCCGTTTACTACAATTTATTCTCTAATAAGTGTAAATTCTATTTCAAGAGATTGCACTTTCTAGCGTTATAGAGATGTCGTTTTTCGAAAAAAACCGTTACATTCGATGGACCAGGGAAACCCACTAAGTCGAGTAATCAACATAGCATCAAACGTTCAAAGCTTACATTGTATTATATATATTAGTCTAGCAACCCTTAAAACGTGCATATCTTACGGTAACATGTTTGGATGTGAGCAAAATATAAAGTTAGTAACATTAAGTTCAAAACTTACCAACGTTCGAGGGCTTCAGAGGTTTAATATCAGTGTTCATTTTAGGTAAAGGATTCTTTGTTTTTACTTCCCGGTTGTCAGTTATTTTTGTAGTCTTTGATTTGACTGAATTTGCTGGAAAAATTAAATACGTAAACTTTAAACAAAGATCCAAATCTCCGACCCTCAGAGAAAATTAATAATTAAGAAATAAAAACACAACTAAACTATGTTACTTTACTATGGTTTAAGTATGTCAGAGATTATGTAACAAAAGAACACGATGTCGTTTGTTTTATTAGAATGTCAACACGCAATATCATTGACATATTACAGGTTGTAAATTGTCAATGTGTCAAAGTCAAATTTTCAGTAGTGCGTTCAATCGATCGTCGAGTTGAGCTGGTCACAGACCTTGTTTTTAAAATGAAATAAAAATGTCGGATGACGATGAGATGACATCTTGGAAAATATAAATCGTTTCGGGTAATTTACACGTGACAAATTACAGGTCCCTGAAAAGCAGTTGTTACATAATCAGCCTGGTGTGTTCTAAATCTTCTAATTATTTGTTACAACTTCTTTTACACACTTAAACCTGAAACTTCTGGATTCATTGTTCATAAACAATCAAAATGCAGTAATCTCTGTTGGGAGTACGCATTAAAATTATACTTGACCATAGATAGTAGATTTGTATCCTTTAAATGTATAACATACTTTTCCGTGTTGTAGTTTAAAGAAATACATAACAAATAGTCTAGTCGACAAGTTGAAAATGGTACAAAATAGAGATACTGCTCTTAAAATATATGTGCGATAGCTCATTGGATCCGGAATGACGTCTAGTAAAATGTGCCAAAAGCGTGTATTAGCACATAAAAAATTGCAAAAGTTATAAACAATCAAAGATGAAAAAAAAATGGCATTTCGTTTTTTACTTTAACAACATTACTTGGATTTTTTAGGTTTTGTTAAAGTAAAAGAATTGTTATAAACAAAGTATAAATATTTTTTGTATATGTAATAGACTAGACTAAAAAGAAAATTATTATACCAGTACTACTTTTCTTAGATATATCAGCTGTTGAGACAGACTTCTTTGGCTCGCGGCGTTTCTTAAACAGCATCGAATATTTTCTTATTATATCTGCTTTGGATTCTTTGGAGCTTGATTGGGGTGAGTCAGTATAATTCCTTGGAGAGTTAACTGAATGGTAACCTGAAACTAAATCACAGGGCTTGTTAGTACGTGTTGTGGAGCAAGAAAGGAGCTGCTCTTCCTCCGACCTTAAGGAAGGATGCTCAATAATTCAAACCACTGACTGGAAAGCCCACAGGCCCCAGTGACTGAGTTTTGTATATCCTTAGCTGTGGGGCTAATGGTAGGGGAGCCCACGATGCTAAATGGGGATTTACTCGAGCGTCGTAGAGACCTATTGGGATGCAAAGCTTAGATAATAAGAAGAAAAAAATGTTATATGATAAATTCCTTTTCATCGGTGGGGGAAGCGGCTATAGATAGTTAAATATGTAAAAAAAAACTGTTGCATGGACATCCTCGAGCGCGTCAGATATTGATAGCATCTATGCCCTACGTATTTTTAATAATGTACGTATGTTAATCTGATCGTTTGCATGATGCGGGTGGTTGTATTTAAGGGTTGAAAATGAAAAAAAAAAAATTTATCGAGCGCGTCAGATTTTCTAAGGGAGTGTTAAGTGCACCAAAAAAAAGCTCTCATTCACTAATCTGACGATTTCGATGGGACGCAAAAACACAGGCATTTTCGTAATTTGCAAAAAAAAATCGCAATTTTGAAATACTCAAGCGCGTCAGATTAAGATATATGTGGTTCATCTTTATGTTCTAAACGTACTGTCTCATAATCTGACGATTATCTAGAGGGATTCGCCTGATCTGACAAAAAAAATTTAGAAAAACGGTTCACCTAAAGGGCCATCCCTGCAACTTCCCGCTAATTCCATTCCTGGGCGCTTAAAATTGATATTTTGAGCTCGCTGAGTTCAAAGAAATAACATTTCTATGCATTTGAGCTCTCCCAGCTCGAAAGTCTGATAGAAGTGTCATAGAACACTATTTTTGGAATTTTCAAACCGCAATAACTTTTGAATGGATCAAGCAATTTTCACGCGGTTGGCGGCATTCGACGCAGTTTTATCATTCCCATAAGTAATTTTGCAATTTTAATTGATCGAACCACAAATTTCGGAGTAATCCCGAATAAACACTTTTTCGGGTTTCTTTCGTTCACGATATCTCTCGAACGAATAAACCGCTTTTGACCAGCTTAGTGGCGATCAACGTGGTTTTTCAAGCTCAAAGGCGGATTAGTTTTTGAAGTTGATCGATAAAGAAACCACTTTAAAAAAAAATATTTCTTATTTTTTAAGATTTTTCAAAATTTCTCAAAATCTATCGGTCCGAATCGGTTCAAATTCACAGGAAATGTAATTTTGAGGGAAATATTTAGAACGCCGTTTAGGAGATTCCGATCGGTTTAAGGAAATGTAGGCATCACGCAGCTGCACGCATTTAACTTTATCGACGAATTTTTGTTATTTCGGCTTGCGGAAATCGTCAGATTATATATTTTTCATTATTCTTGAATTATTTCCTTCAAAATAAAAAAAAATTAGCTACGCTCGAGAATGTCGAGATGACGTTTTTTTTACAACTTTGTTGCCCTCCCTTTTTTCCGTCACTCTCAAATTGTCAGATTAGTGGAATATACACTTTTTAGGATGTAATTAACTCACCCTACCTTAATCTGATGCGCTCGGGAATTTCTGATGGTCAATTTTTTTTTACTAATCTGATCCTGTCTCCTTCACAGGCGGCTTTATATATGGACCTCATGTTTTGTGGAGGTACTTAACCGAGTACAAGCTATCCCCCTGTATATTAATCTGCCGCGCTTTAGTAAATCCCGAAATCCCCTCTTGGGCTCCCCTACCATAACTTTATTTCATCGCTATATGTTTACAATGTCAAAATTATGAGTCATTTTTTAATATCTAATATATAAAATTTTTAGGCATATTCAGTAGCTACTATCTTTCAAACCCCTAAATGTTAAGGGTGGTCCAACCCTAAATTTTTAGAGTAGCTTGTATTACAATAATAACGGTAATGTTAGTGCGAGTGTTTGTACATTTTTATAGTAAGATGAACATTAATAAAGGACTAAGCATATTTTAGATCAATGATCACTTAGAATCTTTTATTAACTATCTAAATCGCCGATAGATCGATACCTGAATTCTGTCTCTGCGATTTTCACAGTTTAAAAGAATTAATTATTTTATAGAATAATTTTTACCTGATTCAGTATCTCTTGTAGGTTTTTCCAGTTCAGACGAAAGCCATTCTTTAACATTCTCATTTGTTGTTTTAAAAAAATTCCTCAATATAACAGTGTTTTTCGATTGCTCCTTTTGAATTTGGCTCACATCTTCTAAAAACAATATCTCTATATATATAAAATTCTCGTGTCACAATGTTCGTCCCCATAATCCTCCGAAACGGCTCGACCGATTCTTATAAATTTTTTATTCATATTGAGTAAATTTGAGAATAGCCTACTATCTATCATTCAAACCCCTAAGTGATAAGGGGTGTCCAGTGTCCACCCCATAAAATTATTTTTATTTTTTAGAAAAAAAATTTTGTTTTATTTTTTTATGATACAACATATAAAATAAATACAACCCTTAATTTTCATCTACCCTCTACGATGAACCCCTATTATGTATTATAGCAGATAGTTATTTATATTGAACTAAAACAATGTTCCTTAGAAGTAATATACATGGCAAATCAACGTTTGTTGGGTCAGCTAGTATACGTATATATATAAAATAATATTCTATAAAGAGGTAAGGATTGTGAGGTTGTTGGGGGTATCCTAAGAATCTATTACACCGATTCTGAAAATTCTTTTACCAATAGAAAGACGTTATTTGCGAGAGTATTTGGCTATATATTAACCGGAAAAATGGATAGAAAATGGTGGTCGGATTTGCAAAGTAAGTCGGAGAAAAACCGCCAAACGAAAAGCTTTCTTAAAGGGTGCTTTATCTATGTGAGGTATATGAGTTCTAGACAAATTTTTAGAGCATGATAATGCCTACAAAAATTCAGCCACAGAATATAAAACGTTATCCGCATTTATCTATATATCAGCCCTGCGATTCTGTAACTCACTTTCCGAGTCTTTTTGAAAAGGTGGGAGTATGTAGTTTATTGTTTATCGGAATGCCAAATCATAAAATGACTGCTTCACGACTGGTTTGAGAGCGACCGCCGATGCGAAAACCGCTGTGTGAGTTCGAAAAGTGAGTTACAGAATCGCAGGGCTGTTCGCGTTAACCTCAAAAACTACTGTACGGAATTTATTGCAGTTACCTAGAGATCATGAGAGGTTTAGTTATATTTTTCAAGATTTACGTGTGACAGTTGTTCAAAGCCGGGGTGGGTCGCTAGTAACATACAAAATATTGTCTTAAACTCTGGACTTAGTCTGGATTCTGAATATTGTTTAGTTTGTCGTCACTAAGCCGTTTAATGAGGACAGTTAAATATAAATAAGAATATTTTATACAATTTTTTATCATGATAATAAAATAAGCCTAACAGAATCGCGTCATTGATGCACGTATCTAATATTATAGATTAATTTACTAAAGCAAAGCCTTTTTTTTTGAGGAAAACGAAGAGGATGTTAAGTGATACCGCCGCTACACTTACATTGCTTAAAGGCTCGCAAGTGCGTTGCCATTAGAACACTCTTCCCTTGACGGACCCTAAGTCTAGTTGATTCGGAAATACTCCAGTGGGCAGTTCCACATAGTGGTTGTACGCGGCAAGAACTGCCGGTGCTGCTGCCGTGACTTTTATTCGTAACAACCTCAATATATATGTCAGAGAAAAAAGAACAGAAAGATCGTTGATTTTTATTGTTGCTTTGGTTAATATAATTGCGACTATTACTTTCAAGAATCATAATTTAATTTGATTCAATTTGTTTTGTTATTATTTAATTGTTTCATAGTCTAGTGATGTCCAATCAGAACAGAGCGTATGCGAGGCACCATCTTGACTTGGACAATGCGTTCAGGGAATGCATTGTAGTTCTGATTGACTATTCAGTGGAGAATAGTGATGATGAGACGTTGGACTAAGTTGTATCTATAAGATTAAAAGTGAGATCAGTAAACCCACTGCTCGTTATAATTTAAGCTAAAGTGTTATGTCTAATGTTAAAGAGAATCAATCTAAATTGAATACTATACGATAATTATTCGTCTTTTGTGATGTGTACCCACATGACGCCCATTAAACCCGCTATAATTTCAATATCGATAGAGCGACAATATTTTTCTGACATATATTATTAGTAAAATCTAAGTGTAATTTTTTATAAATATTTTTAGCTATTTCCGATTTATTAGTAACTCAGTCATGTATCGTATACCTTCTGATTATAACACAAATTACCAGCAAATATAATAGATATATTTAATGTAACTAAAAAATTTTTAAAAATAATTTAAAAAACTTAAATAATTTAAAAATTCTTCCTTTCTATTAAATATATAGTATAATGAACATTGAATCTTAGAACTTAGAATTTATATTATATTCTTTGTATATTTTTTTTGTATTTTTTGTATTTGTATAGGTGAAACTGTGCTTTGTGTATGTTTAAATGTGTATTCCGTTTTTGGCTTTTGTGTACAGTGTATTTGTTTATATATTGTTTAGTAAGTAGCTGTAGGAATACCGTTGAGCAAATTTATACCTAGGGGATATTTGCGATGGTGAGGGCCATGGTTGTTTGCGAAACCAAGGTCCAGAAGCAGTCGGTTCACAGATCCCCGATAACACGTTGTGCCTACTGAATGCTGTCTATATTCTCATATATATATTCGCAGTTCTTTATATGTATTTAATATTATTTTTAATTTCGAAATATATAGTGTATGTCTATGTGAGAATAAATAAATAATATTACCAGATTTTGATGAACTGCTTCTTACACTCGATGCGTTATTGGCAATTTCACTTTCTTGTGGATGAAACTGGTCACGGCGTTGTTCTATTGATCCTAGGAAATAATCTAAAAGCAATATTTTAACATTAGAATAAACACGCACTAGACATAAGTACTCACATTTATTTATTCAGGTTTTAGCAACCTGAATTTTTACTTTTTAACTTCAAAGGTTAGGTAAAAGAAGAACATTTGTACCTTCTGTCATTCATTTTACAAATCATGATGTTTTAATTAATTTCTATGGGGTTAAAGAGCATGTGCCACCACATTATTGCATGGTACACTATTGCCGAGTAAAATATGTAGAAAAAAATTTGGAGCTGTTTTAAGGTGGAGCCGTGATTCGACAAATTTACCGAAGTAATTTATCCCTCCAATTAACTATAACTGGGAATCCAGGTTTCTTCAGTACCTTTACCAATATTTTTACACCATAATTTTGTTTTCAACAGATAACTGTTATAAAATATTTTTGTCCCTTTTTTATGACAATAAAATTAAGTTTGGTCAATTCATAAGTATCATGCAAGGTTCATAGCTGATACCATCTTTCTTTCATGAATCTAGAAAAGGGTAACACGGCATGGAAGCGATTTTTGTAATGATTTTTTTTATTTCTATAAAAATATATTAGTTTATAACCATTGTAAACATCACTGCTGAATATTGAGTTTCCATAAATGATTCCTAATGTTGGAATTGGCCTCGTCGCAGTAACAGAAACCGGCGCATCCACATCTCTTAAACCTAAAATTATTAATTTAAATATTTTTATTTCTAGAAATTTATTTTTCTTTATGTTATTTTATTTTCGTTTTATGTGTATATCTTATGAATTTTTTTTATTTAGTTTATAATGAGTACCTATTGTACAATTAAGGGATTTTTATAAAATTACTGGAAATCTTTTTACTATCTATTAATTGTTTTATTTGTTTAAATCACAATATTCACTTCACAATAAAAGTTATTGCCTGATTAGTTAACATCTGTTTTTAGAATATATTTCGAACTAGTATTAAACCTATTTTATATAAGGCACCCGTCAGAAGTAAACGTTAAATTTTTACTTAACGTTTTATTAAAGGACCGTAGCAACACACGCTCCACAACAGAGCCTTTTAAGGACTCTTCTTGCCGTGCCCCACCTTTTTTTGGAACCTACCATTCCAGGAAATTCCGTCGATTTAGGGGCTTTCAAGAGAAGAGCCTTCCTTAAAGGTTAGTAAAGCCAACTTGAAAGACCCCATGTTATCCATGGGCATTAACATTTAGTTATAATTTACCCTTCTCGATAGCCCTCGTAAAAAAGTATTATACCTGGCGAATTAAATATTTGTACTCTCTGAACATTTTGGTTTTGCAGGAAAACGCGGTCAATATCCTTAGATGGCTTCTTCTTTATGAAACTTATGTTCCGCCTTGGTATTCTGCTGGGTTGCTTTTCTGGTTCTGTAATTATATTCAAACTCAAAACTCAAACTCAAAATATCTTTATTCATGTAGGTAAACAAGTACACTTATGAATTGTCAAGTTAAATTAATTGTAAATTTACATTTACTACCAGTTCGCAAGTCAAGGGCGTAGAGCGGGTAAGATTGAATTAGGACTGGAAAATATATACATATATTTTTACTACAGATTTCTATATTTTTACTTCTATTTACAGAAATAGAGTGTACATACACTCTATAGAAATATTGATGACTCGTAGCAATTATCAACGGTATGTTTGATATTAAAACTGGGCCTATGCTGTTTCGATGAGCAAGCAAGTCAGCGTTATTGGGTTTAAGACATGCCGGTTTCTTCACGATGTATTGTTTTGTTTCACAGTTTGTTACGTAAAGTTCTAACGAACAAAAGGCCTTTGCCTTACACTTAATCGTTTGAATTATTGTTTTTTTTAAATATTGCTATATTTATTTATACTTCGTTACATTAAAATAAAAACAATATTTACTTGGTAATTCGAGCTTCTTTGTTGCGGTCTTTGCTTTTCTACTTGTCGCTGGTTCACCTAAAAGTATACATTGCTATCCAATTAATATATATTCCTAAAATAATATTTTTTTTTATTCACATTACACAGCACACAAGATACCATTTAAGTTGAAATTTGGGAATTTAAAAGGTTTGACGCTTATGAGAATCTGCTAAAACCAAAATTATGAGAGAAGTACAAACTATTATTAATATAAACAATAAAAATATTACTATAAAGGTATATAAATTCGCGATCTACTATAATGCAGGGTTAGAAAAAGGAGATAGGGTGGATTGAAGCAAACAAATTTATAGGCGATTCAAAATTACTCACACAACAGATCTAAATACACTCTAATATCCGCATCAGATTTTAAATCAAGAGGAAAAATCAAGATAGTTTAGTTCAGGTTAATATATTAGATAACCGTTCAGCTCAAATTCAATAGGCTATTTGACAGTATGAAAATACAGCGTTGTTGAAACACGCTGGTGTGTTGTGAAGTTTAATTTCTTCAAAGAGTATTTCATCGATATACACAGTATTTGTGTTCTTTGTATAAAATTAGCGCTATTGTAGCAGAGAGAATATTTCAAGATTAAGCTTTAAAGAAAAATATGAAAACTTTTAAGTACGATAGAACCTTACCTAATGAGAAATTTATTATGGCATGATATTGCTCATTATCAATCTACCATTTGGCATTCTGATAAGGAGGGAGTTTGTAGTTTATTGTTTCTAAAATGACTGCTTTACGGCTGATTTGAGCGCGACCGCGGCTGTGAAAACCGCTGTGTGAGTTCGAAACGTAAGTTACAGAATCGCAAGGCAGGTCTTGGCGAAATAATATAAGATTTGTCCTACAAAGTTGTCTGTTTTCATAGTATTTTCACTTTTATTGTTAATTACAGTTCTGGTGTATTTTATGGATGTATTTGAAAAATGTTGCCTCTGCACATCATTTTTACTCATTTTACACAGAAATCACTATTAAAATTTAACACAAATCTCATAATGGAATTTAACGCACTAAAAACTAGTGTTTACATGAATGTTACATCATAGGGACTGGTGCGATGGCATCATACATAGAGAAGCGTTTTGAAGGGTATTTAAAGTAATTAATGTTTATTTTAACTGAATAAAAGAGCTTTTTGATCATTTTCTTTCTGCCTCGTAATTAGCTCTGCATATATCTATTAATTATTGTGACTCTGTTAACCTTTTGATTGTATTTTAAATTTTTGTTTCTACATATTTTTATTTATTATTATTGTTATTTTATCTTTAGATTTTACTTTATTTTATTTTAGTTATAGTTACGTGTTATTTTTAGTTTATTTTTGTTAATAATTTATGCATTCCTTGTACCCTTTGTGGGTGTTTCTTTTTCATTGTTCCACTTTAGGGTTGCCTGGAAGAAATCGCTTGTTAGCGATAAGGCCGCCCGTTGCCTAATAACTTTTGTAACCGGCTTTTTTTATTTTTGTTATGTGTATGTTTTTGATTAAGGTAATAAAGTATAAATAAATAAATAAAAAATAACAATTTGTGAAGCATCATAAATGTTTATATCTTATCAAATAGCCTATTATATTAAAATTGTATCGATTAATATATGACATTAATACTCATTAAAAATATGTTATTTTAATATATAAACAGGAATACCTGCTATATTAAGATGACCGCTGCTTTGTGCGTTATTTTTCTTGAGATATATAATTGGTATTTTTACAGGTTTTGTCTTTTCTTCTTTCTTTTCCTCGTGCGTTATATGTTTTAGATCTGTAAAATTAAAAAATGTGTAAGATATATCAGATATCATTTGAACATTGACCAACTGCTGACACGGCTCACTTGGTTGTTCTGTTATATCTCAGGGCACATCTGTAGGTCTTCGGGACCCATAGGGTTGTAGGTCTCACCCTCTCATATATTTAGTTATCAGCATATGTCAAAAATCATTTAATCATATGGGTAACACAATGTACACTAATTATGAACGTCAAAAAAAGAAATGTATACGAAATGCTTCTAACTTTACATTTAGTGCCAGTTCTCAAATTAAGGGCGTAGAACGGAAGAGAAGAACTGGCAATAAACTCTCCGCTACTCTTTTTACTTGCCATGTTTTTTTACACTTTATATACAATACGAGGTCTCAATTGTCTTAAAATCGATATGAACCAAACATTACCTTTAGTCATCTTACTTCGTGACGTCATCCGCCCAAAAGCAATTTTTGTTTCTTTTGAATTGGAGAGTTTTGGTGAGTCATGAATATTCATCTAAGGAAGCAATGTAAGAGTCAAATTTATTATTGATTTTTAAATTTACTAATTAAAAAAATATGTGATGTACTACTTACTGTAATACCTTTTTCTGTGTGTTTGAAAGCCTACATTCTACACGTAAGATTTAGTAAAACAACTGTGAAATTTTTGCGGATTTATTTACGAGAAATTTTGTCAAGCCGATCAAACATTTTGACACATGTTGACAGCGTTTTATTTTTCTGTGACGTCATTTCTTAGATGCAGTCGCTGCTTCAATTTGAAGGTTTATTTTACTGGCTGGCTTCGCTCCTTGTTCCGTTTTAATTTCTTCCAATTTTTTTATAAGATCTTCTTGCACACTATCCACGATTTCTTTAAGATTTTTGGCTGAAACAATTAATTTCAATTTTACCTGACGAATAATGAGTATTATAAAGAACAAATTTTTCTAAAGAAATAGATTTCTTTTGTGACTATCCTATGCGATATTAATAATAGTAACAACAACAATTTTAGCTACTGTACACGCTGACTGGCAGAATGAGTGAGTACGCGATGTTCTTATCTCTATTCGCTGTCTCTCGGCTTCGTCTTGGTAGATAAAGGGTTAAATATAAAAGAAATGCTCTTTCCGTATTTATAACGATACACATACTTAGTTTCACATGTTGCAACATATTAACTATCTATGCCTTTTAATTTGTTTCTCTTACCCGTCTTCTGATTAAACTCTTCAGCAATAAGTGATATCCTCTTCAACGTGCTTACATATTTGGCAATTTCACCCGCAACATCTTTATCACTTCCAGTATTAACGGCAACATCTTCAGTTGGAATTCTAATTTTCCTTTCTGGCGCTTTGAACACGTCACTGCTTGTTAGTGGCATTTTTGGTATCTTCAAATTGTTCTTTAAACCAAGAGTATCACTGGATGGTTCATCAGCAATAATAATTACCGGTCTAGGTATATCAAGTGTGTCATTCGAAAGTAATTCGGGTGCGTATTCCTGTAACGCTTCTATTTTCATAGGCGAATCTTTTCTAGGTGGTGTTTTTCTGGACAGTTTCACCGGTAGTGCGTTAGTGAGGCTTTCAATTATTGTTTCTATGAAAACAAAAATTCGATTGCTTAAATCCATTACAATGAGAAACGTAAATGAATAATTTAGTAACACTAACGGACTATGTTTGTGGGCGCTTCGGCGTCCTCTTTCTTTTTCAACATTAATTTCCTCGTTAAATCAGCCAAGAACATTGAGCACGTGGGTCCTAAACAAACAGAGAATTCGTCCAATTATGTTTTATTTAGATTAGGATTCCAATAGGTCACCTAATCTTGGATACTCACACCAAAAGGCGTTCCTTGTGGAGAGTTCTGGGGAAATTTTTAAACAACACAGACCACAACCTCACCTGATGTTAAGTGATTGTTATCTGGTCATGGCACAATTATTTTTTAAAGGATCTTAAAACACTATTTTAAAAATGTTATTATGTGCAGACCATACTTTGTGGTGTGCATTAAAAGGATTAAATATGATCGACATGAAGATGATACGGATAAATTATCAAGAGATAACAAGTTATGTCACTGTATGGGCACACTCACGTATTATTATACTAAGTTGATTTGTTAGTACGTTTTGTCAGCTAAACCGATCTAAACCGATTTTTTATTTCTGTTATTTGAGTGGGGCTTAGGACCTCCAAACTAAATAAAGAAACCAAACAAGTTCGCGATCTACTTATAAATATAGAAAAGAAAGCTTTTGGTTAAAAATAACTGAACAATATTGCAAATGATAGTAGCAAATGGAAGTAAGCAAACGTAAGGATTTTAATGCAACTAAAAAAATACTATTCGTAAGTGTTTTGTAAAATAGTAATTTAGTAGATAATCCCATACGTATGATTCTGATAAATATGACTTAAGGATTTTTGACACTAAATATCTACTAATCTGAATAAAAAAGTATAAAAATAAATACCATCACTTTTTCGTTTCTTCGCAGATTTTGGCTTTGCTGCAGAAGTCTTATTCTTACTTTTCGGTCTAGTAGGTTTTTCCATCACTATACAAAAACTTGTTTGGGATTTTGCCTTTGATTTTTATTATTTTCATGTCTCAGATGAATAAAAAAAGTCACCGAAAAATCCCGGGATGTCCCACACCAAGGGACTCCCGAGTTTAATAACAAAATTAAAAAATAAATTAAGTAAACAACCACACGGCTTTAATAATTGACAACGTCAACAATGTCAGAATATGAAACAATTAAATTTATATGACAGAAACAATTATAGAATAAAATGCAATATATAAACACAAGAGAAGGGAAAAAGGGATAAAGAGGGGATCCAGGGGTACCTAAGGGATAAAAAGAGAAGCACTGGAAGACAGGTGAGGCGTTGGCATGACGATACAAGTAACTGGGGTAGAATGGTACAGTATAGCGAAGGACAGGTTAAGATGGCGATATTTGGAAGAGGGCTTTATCGAGAGACATGGTGATTAGTAGTAATAATAATAAATCTAATATATAATATTCTCATGTCACAATGTTCTTTTCCATACTCCTCCGAAACGGCTCGACCGATTCTTATAATTTTTTTTATGTGTATTCAGTAAGTCTGAGAATCGGCTACTATATATCTTTCAAATCCCTAAGGGATAAGGGGAATCCAATTTTTTTATTTTTTAGACAAAATTTTTGGTTTTTATTTTTTTATGATACAGCATACAAAAATACATACAACCCTTTTTCACCCCTCTATAATCAACCCCTATTTTTTATTTGTTAATTATGACTTGAACTCTGAGGTTTATATAGAGAAAAATCACAGAAAACCTAAAATGTTTTCATTCCGGAATACCGAACAAACTCTGGGGTAGCATAGCAAAATGTTCCATGTTGGTATGTACTGAAAAGGTAGGCCAGGCATTGAGGAGAAACGAAGTTCGCGGGGGCAGCTAGTAGTGTATAAAAATACTATGGTATTTTTACATAAGTATAGGAAGAAACTTTTATTTTATTTATTTTTATTGTACCACAAAGAAAGGTTAGGTGGTCGTCGATACACAATCTTATACTAGAATAATAACACACAATATTGTCAGCCGTAAAGATTTAGAGAAATTGTAATAGTTTGGGAACAAAGAGAGGTTAGATTGATGCTGATACCTTGCCTCACAATAGTTCACAAAAAGCACAAAACATTCACGATAAAATTATAAATTAAGGACGTAACTATTAACAAATATCATTAACAGAAAGGTATAAATATCATCGACTAACAAAAAAATGTGACGATCGGACGAGTAAAAATATTTTGGATCACCCTCATCAAATTTTATTAAACTAAAATTATGTATTTCGAATACTTATTATAGAAAAATTTTAGTTGCTTCATATTTCATTGGGATTGACCAAAATCTAAAAATTTATAACATTTACAAAGATTTGAGCAGTACTGGTAATGTTAGATACGGAGGCTGAAAAAATGGACGCGGCATAGATATTACCTACGTCGCGGTACTAACAAAAGCAAGACAAAGTGAAGCCTTGTCTGATCTGGGCATTTATTATATAATTTAGACGTTTCATTAAAGTAGGAGGCGAAGCTTATATAAAAGCCGTAAATTAAAAGTGTCTATGGTTGCGAGAATTAAGCCTCGTATTCATGGTAAACATTTGTTTAGCAACAGTTGATCAACATTGTGGATGAGCGGCAAGAATGTTGCTGGAAACTTTGTTTAAATCAATGTAAGTTGTCCACACGGCAGTCTGCGTTTAAATGTTGCCCGAGGAAGTAGTGTTGTTGTGTTCTCTGTATCTGATGTATAGGGTTTCTAATAAAAATAAGAAAAAGAGATGGTGAGTGTGAAACTATCTTCTGCAAAGAGAAAATTTGATGATATGCATATTTAGGGCTCGAGAACTTTCTTCAAATGCATCGTTATTTTTGTTTCTATACTTGTATTCTATAATTGAGGAATCGCATAATAATGCTTTTGATTGAAACAGTTCTATTATTTGCATTGTTTTATCATTGCTCCACACTACTGCCATGTTTATAAACTGTTGCAAACTCGTCCACACACGTCAACAATTGTCGCTAAACTGATGTTTACGCTTGTCGGGCGAGAGCTTGTTAACATGATGCTGTCAACTCTGCAACACGCAGTGTTGCCAGCAACATGTTGACAGCAACTCCGCAACACGTTGATTCAACTTTGTTGCTCAACAAATGTTTCCCATGAATACGGGGCTTTAGTAGGGCAGAGAAAATGTCGTGTTCGGCATAAAGGCCTAGATGATACAGTTACTGTTGAAGATGTATTTACTGCCTATTCGGTAATGGCAAACTGTGCAGCAAATGTAGAAAAATTTAGAGGGGACTATATAGACCACAAGCCCATGAACAAAAAATACCTGTGAAATGACCCAACGTGAATTACGCTTAGAAGGCTGTTACTATATCTGAAAATAGCTCTGAGCACTATGCCGTCATTTCTGAGCGGTACATGTGAGTACGTGAGTGAATGGACTTTCTCATGTACAATGGGGGAATTTCGACTAATTATTAATGTACGGCTTTGTTATAAGTGTATAGATGATTAAAAATAAATGTCGAAAAACCTAGTGCCGTACAAAAGTGATGGTGCCGGAAGTCGGTGCAAATTTTTAATTCGACGACAGTTGCAGGAGCAATATAGGTCATTTATTACTGTACGGCATTTGTGTCATTCCTTTTGGACACATATACAGATACTTTACCCGTAAACGCCGTACATATTTCCAGCGGAGCGGTCGAAAGCCAAGGGTCGGAACCCTACCCCTACACCCATATACCCTAAGGTCATTGTAAAATGTACGGCAACATGTTCAAAATATTATTTAACACGGACAATAATGTTTTATAATTATGCCGTCCAAATATTATAGTTAATATTTGTGTAATTAAATATTTATCGAAATTTCAGGATTTACCAAGTATTTACTGCTGTAAGATCAGAGAATAATGTACGGCAACTTGTTTTTTTACATAATGTTACTAAATATTACCGTTGTACATTATAGCCGTTCATTATAAATGGTAACAAATAAAAATATTATGATAAAAAATATATGAAATTTCCGAAATTTAGATGACTTTTCAAATGCTCCTAGAGTAATATGGGGAGTAATATTTTCAAAGATTATTGTTATTTTATATGTAACAAATATAAATAAACAAAAAAACCAGATGCCGTACATTTTACTCCAGATTATTCTTTACAGCTGATAAAAACTTCGACGACGTTTGAGGTGTCCCTTAAGGTCATTAATAACTGTACATATCTGAGTATACTACCATAAGGCTGTAAAGTATATTTACAGCCTTATCGTACCAGCAGAGAGAGGTAAAGGAAAAATATTTTTAACAAAAATATATATAATACAGGGTCCCAAAGTTATGAGACATGAAGGGAAAGTACCTTAAATATCGCAGATAGGGTATTTTACTAAAAGAAGACTTTATGTTATTTATAAAAGTTAGTAATTCTGCATTCAAAGATTTTTTTAAAACTACTTGCCTCGTCTGGAAATCGAACCGGCTTAAATTAAAAAAAACACCCCTACTTTTATGATGCCAATCGAAAGAATGGCCAAAACCTAATAACTTTTCTAAAGTAACAGACTCGTAGGGAATTTTTTAAGGCCGAATACGATAGATAATGTTTTTAATTTGATTAAAAAGATATATTCACGCTGTTCCTTTCTTTTAAAATACTATGTTACTTAAGAAGAGTTATTAGTTTTTGGCCATTCTTTCGATTGGCATCATAAAAGTAGGGGTGTTTTTTTACATTTAAGTCAGTTCGATTCCCAGACGAGGCAAGTAATTTTTAAAAAATCTTTGAATGCAGAATTAATAACTTTTAAAAATAACATAAAGTCTTCTTTTAGTAAAATACCCTATCTACGATATTTAAGGTACTTTCCCTTCATTTCCCATAACTTTGGGACGCCCTGTATTGGTAGGCGGTGGTAGCGGACTATTGAAAGTGTACGGCATTTATCTTTTATTGAAGATTGTCTAAAGTATTAATAACCTGTGTTATTGCCGTACAGATAAAAGTCACCGGAAAATGACTCTTTTCTGAGGAAAGTAATTTGCCCCATACACCTATGTGTTCCACAAAAAATGTACGGCATGCTGGAAAATGTTATCTATTTGTGAAGTACTCTCAAGATCATTTAATTTTATGTTGATTCATATCATCATCACCTATATGCTAATCAGACATATGTTGCGACCCTTGGCTTTCGACCGCTCCGCTGGGAATATGTACGGCGTTTACGGGTAAAGTATCTGTATATGTGTCCAAAAGGAATGACACAAATGCCGTACAGTAATAAATGACCTATATTGCTCCTGCAACTGTCGTCGAATTAAAAATTTGCACCGACTTCCGGCACCATCACTTTTGTACGGCACTAGGTTTTTCGACATTTATTTTTAATCATCTATACACTTATACTTAGCCGTACATTAATAATTAGTCGAAATTCCCCCATTGTACATGAGAAAGTCCATTCACTCACGTACTCACATGTACCGCTCAGAAATGACGGCATAGTGCTCAGAGCTATTTTCAGATATAGTAACAGCCTTCTAAGCGTAATTCACGTTGGGTCATTTCACAGGTATTTTTTGTTCATGGGCTTGTGGTCTATATAGTACAAGTACTGCACTCGTAGTTCGGTGGAATCATGAGCGCGGAAAATGTGAATACGGCGCATTGCGTTTTATGCGGCAAAGCTACGGGTAACATTCCAGCGGATCAGATAATGGGCGCAAGATCCACTAAACCCTAAAAAGATGACAGCATGTGTGAAGATTGCAATGGCAACTAGTTACGCGATTTTAGCACCTATCATTAAATATAGGTTAAACCCAAATAAAAAACGTTTTTCTAATTACTTCGGTTTATTGAATAATCCAATTTAGGTGACCTTTAAGGGAACAGCAGAGCGTAAATAAAATGTGATCAGTGGCATTTCTTTGTGTAACTATTTTAAGATCTTCTATATCTTTGACCTTCACACATCAAGAATCGGGTGGTGCTACAGGTTTCTGTAAAATATTAATCTTTATTAAATATCTTAAATATACTACAAAATGTAATATTTTAATTTGATAAAGTATTTTTTTATAATTTCTATTTTTTATTGAACAGTTTCATGCAGCTTCAGTCTGAATTTATACAAAAAGTATTTATTACTTCAGTAAATTTTAATAGTATATACTATATATATTATATCTAATAACGAAAATACCTAAAGCAAAAACTTCAAAGAAGTGTCTAACACAAGGGTGTATAACCTTTTGTATATCCCAATATGTTACTTATTGTCATCACCAAGAACACGAGAACAATAAGGACAAAATTTTCAATTACTTTGCGAGTCTAGTACCTAGAAGGAAACATTGAAGGGATGTGAGCAGCCACTGCTCGTGTCGCTGCTATTGCCATAGTTGCGAGTAATTCGGTAAAAAAGTAAAGGTGACAATCCAGTTTAGGGTATTGATTCCGGCAGCGGCGAAGTAGCAAAAGCTGAGTGACAATGAGGTATTACCGTAATAGTGGAAGGCTGGCGTTGCGTTGCAGACGTTCTCTCGGCTACGGGTGCTTTCGGATCTTGTCCATGTTCAGAGTGTGCTTGTGCGAGAACTAAAGGTGCAGCAGGCTTTGCTTGACTCTCTAAATAATAATATATTTATAGCAAACTTTATTTGAGGTCTCAAATAAATTATTGATTGTTTATTTAGTACAAGTCTCTCTATATACACATTACATATATCTAATAAAATATCTCTGTCAAATATAACTTGGAAAGTACGTTCTGCAAAGCAGGCATAGTATTGCACAACGGTCAATTTCATTTCGGCTTCAGTGTTTCCCAACCTTTTCTGAGCCATGCCCCACATTAGCCTTTCTTAAGTTCTTATGCCAATACGTAAGAAACATTTTTTAATATAAAAATCGAATTGTTAACTTAAGAATCTTAACTCTCTTAAAAAGGTTTTAGGAAGAAATCAATTTCAAAAACAGAAATTGTAATAAAGATTTTTAAATTACGTGGAGATCTTTCCGCTTCATGCTTGCTGCACAGAGATTTTCTATTAGGTTCCAATTTGGTTACTTCAGTCTCAAGTCTCGTTGGTTTATAAGTGACCTTAACAATCAAATTGCCCCTTAACAATCAAATCTCCCCCCTTAACTATCAAATTTCCCCCTGTAGGCCTGGGGCCCCCCACTGGGGATCACTGATCAAATTGGTGTAACTGGATCTAAGGTACGTATACATAAAACAACTATTACTAAACTTAACTAGTGCAGACTGCTAACCTGGCAGGGCATGCACGCTCCCCTTGGCATCATAGAACTCCTCTTTCCCCTGATCTTCGATCTTGGGCCCACTATCTGAGGCAGCACTCGACGTTGAAGTAGTACTTTTATCAGTTGCTGGTTGGGCTCGCTTCTTTCTTCTCTTCTTTTTCGAGTCTGTCTGCGCAGTATCCGTTTGGGGTGTAGGGCCTCCCTTCTTGATGTCGTGAAGCTCTAGCACAATATTTTCATTAGTTTCAAATAGTCCTGTATGTGACGATGATGATGCGGTGTCTGTCAGGTCTAAAAGATCTCCATATGAGCTCTCTGGAATATGGAGAATTGTATATTTGTGTATAATGCCGTCCCCTACAGACAATTTTTAATAGGGACGAGTAAAGTTAGTAGTTCAAGAAGATTCATCTGTGGCTTGCAGCCATAAGAGAGACAATGTTGTGAAAGCCTTCAATCAAATATACAACAACCAGTATACATAAGTATATATCCAGTGACCCCATTTCAACATGCTACATAATTATATGACAGATTAAGCAAAAGTATCTTTATTTAATCAAGCATGTTTTTAGAGGGAGGTCACCCCTTCCATCTACATTTATCGTGAAGCTATTTTTCAAAATCAACTGTGACATCATCAGTCGTGTTGTCGAACTTAGTTTTTCACTTTTTTCTTAAGGCCCGGATTTTCGAGTAAATCATATATTTTTTTTCCGTAATGCTTACATAAATAATATATCACAAAAAACAATACTAAGGATAGAGCTAAAAATGGAATACATACCTAATATATTTACAAAAAGGTCCAAATATTCGAAATAATCATCAACATTTAAAAATCTTATGTAAAAACGAGAAATAGGTTTAACCATTTGAATGAACCCTAATGTATTTATTGCATGTTTTATAGGTATTAATTATAATTATTTTCACTAAGGTATTCAATTATTTTTTAAATTAATGTTTAAAAAGAGCAGTTTATCTAGAGACTAAAGCTATTTTTCTGCTTCGGAATCAAGTTAAGGTCATAAAACAATATTTATTACTTACAATAAAATTTACTTACGTTGAGAATCCATGTTATTTTTTATCTATTTGTGCAACGTAGAAAATAATAGAAATATTTGCTAATTGGCCATGCTATTTAAGTAAAATAAATATTTAGATTATATAAACATTTTGAATTTGATTTTGTGCTGAATACTGAAGCCGAATGTTTTGTCGTGAATAGAATGCAAATAAATTTAAACTAAGAATGTCTAAAACTTTACTTTTTTGTTGGTGGCCTAGATTTTTTTTATTTTTATGACTCGCCTAAAATAAGGTTTTTATGTTTTGTTTTGAAGTTATACTTCTTTAGGCGCGTTATGAAAAATTTATGAGAGTGAAATTTTACGATGCGTGCGCACCGTGACACAAAATTATTAGTATGGGCGCCGAGTGTGCGCGAGCGAGATGGGAATAAGACTATCTACAAGTAAAAAGAAATAGAATATGCGTGACGTTAGCAGCTATGCTAAGAATTTTGAATGACCATAATGACATTTGTAGTACCTTTTAAACAAATAAAGGAGTTTTAATTATTTTTTCAAAGAAATTTAGCAATGCTTTTTCACAAAGACCTATTGTTACTTAGTTAAAATGTTATGAAACATACCTAGTTATTAAATTGAATTAATAATATAATAAAATAATAAATAATAATAATTATTAATATTAATTAATAATTGAATAATATACTAAATATTAAATATTGTTAAATTATTAACGCTAAATATTTATTATTAATTATTTAATATTTATATAAAGTGCTTTATATAATTATTTAATATTTATATAAAGCGCTTTATATAAAATATAATATTTTATATATAGCGCAAATTCGGCCCCACATGGAGTACCTCTGGGCGGGGGCTCCCCAGTACCAGCTCCTTCCACTTGACCGTATTCAACGCAGAGCGGTTCGAATCGTCGACGACCAATCCCTCTCCGAGCGGCTTGATCCTTTGGTGTTGCGTAGAGATGTGGGGTCACTCTGCATCTTCTACCGCATTTACCATGGAGAGTGTTCAGAGGAGTTGTTCGGATTAATACTGTAAAACTGTTCGGAAAATAGCTGAGTTTCGTCATCGGACGTCGAGGCAGAGTACGATATTCCACGCGTATCACCTCGACGTCCGCCGTTCCACAACTGAGCGTTTTTCAAGGCAGTTTTGCCGCGCACCACTACTTTGTGGAACCAGCTGCCCACTGAAGTATTTCCGAACCAATTCGACTTAGGGTCCTTCAAGAAAAGAGCGTACCAATTCTTGAAAGGCCGGCAACGCACTCGCGAGCCCTCTGGCATTGAGAGTGTCCATGGGCGGCGGTATCACTTAACATCAGGTGAGCCCCCTGCCCGTTTGCCCCCTGTTCTATATAAAAAAAAAAATAAATAAAGAAAGCCAAAGAAGTATAACTTCTTACGCGCGTATATAAGTACACGCACCATTTTTTTTATTTTAGGTTTAAAGAACTTTATTACTCATAAGAACTTAATACTAGTTCGCTTACAATGAGATACAGTAGGTACTTAATTCTAAAAGTATATAATATTAGTCTCTCTAGGGCGTTGGAAACATTACTGATTGCAAATAATCTTTTAGACCTCCTTTGAAAACATTCATATTTTCGCACAGTTTCAATTCTTCTGGTAAGTTGTTGAACAACTGTGCTCCTTCGAATAATATTGTTGTTTTTCCGTAATTAGTCCGCGGTGTTATAAGTTGAAGATTATTTTTTTTCCTCAAGTGGTTTGTATTTGTTTTTTTATGTAATTTTATATTAGATTGTATGGAATTTGTTATAATTTTCTTTACTAGGATGCATGTGTAGTATATATATAGTTGTCTAATATTTAGTATTTTTGTTTTTTCATATAATATTTTAGTTGGAGTTAGGTGATTATAATGGAATAACACTTTTATAATTTTGTTTTGGGTCCTTTGTAATTTATTTAGATTAGTTTTCGCGGCTGATCCCCATATTTCAATTAAATATTCAAGATTTGATTTTACTAAAGAGTTGTATATAATAGTTCGTATTTTTTTTGGGATGCAGTGTGCAACTGTACGTAGTGCAACTAACAATGACATTAGTTTTGTTTTGACATGATCGATATGCGACTTCCAGGAGAGCTGGTCATCTAATATTAGTCCGAGATACTTTTCTTGAGTTGAGCGTTTTATTGCATCATTATTTATTATTAGTGGTGGGTAGTCTGAAATCTGTTTATTTCTTGCGGCGAAAATCATATGAGATGTTTTAGATGTGTTAATAGTTAATAAGTTATATTTTAACCATTCGCTGAGTAGCTGTAAGTCCTTCTGAGCATTATTTATTAAATCATTATTTTAATTTAACATCATTTTCTTCAATACCGATCAATAAATAGTTACGTAGAAAGGAAGCCGTATCGTCAAATCCATTTTTCACTCGATATAAATTTTATAATTTACAATAAGTAAATAAAAGGAATATCAATATAAATCCTATAAAGCTAGCACTAACCTTTGGTGATGATGGTTTCCTGTTTTAACTTTGATATTCTTGTCCAATGAGTACATAGTAAAATGCGGTTGTAGGATAAATCATAGAAAAATATGTTTGAAATTTGTTGCGCGCGTGCTCTCAATAATGACACCTTAGATGTCAACAATCAGTTACCTGGGCGCGTGCATGTCAAAATCAAACTGACAATTGTCAATCTTTTTGGCTGTCAGCAAGTTAGCTGCACAAAGAGTGTTAGTCTAGTAGTTGAGCTGCGACTTTCAACTCTGCATATCGTGCGTTTGAGCTTCGGCTGTATAATCTATTTTTTATGACATAGACATCGTATATTTGCCTTGAAAAAATTATCAATGGAAAGTAATGGCGTAAATAAATTCATTCGTAGCTTGAAAAATAAAATGCTTACATAGAACCATTTGGATGATATCTATAATATATCATATATGCCCGTATATATGCCCGTATCACCTCGACGTCCGCCGTTCCACAACTGAGCGTTTTTCAAGGCAGTTTTTGCCGCGCACCACCACTTTGTGGAACCAGCTGCTCACTGAAGTATTTCCGAACCAATTCGACTTAGGGTCCTTCAAGATAAGAGCGTACCAATTCTTAAAAAGGCCGGCAACGCACTCGCGAGCCCTCTGGCATTGAGAGTGTCCATGGGCGGCGGTATCATTTAACATCAGGTGACCTGCCCGTTTGTCCCGTTCTATCAAAAAAAAAAATGAAAGAGTAATGTGACATAATATGTATATGGAGATGACAATCGAAACAAAGTTTTATTTATTTCTAATATTCCTCATTAATTCTATAATATTTAAGGCAGATCGCCCTACGCCCTTAGGCTATATTTTACGTTCTATAAAAGGAACTTACACACTTTATGTGACCGTTTCTGACCTTTTAGCCCTTTGGGAGATTGTCAATATACTTCGTAAGCTCTATGAGAGTCCTTTGTAGCTTAAGCATTTTTAGATAACCTTATTATAGATAATATTGTAGTTTTATATCTAATATATACAATTCTCGAGTCACAGTGTTTGTAATTAAACTCCCCCGAAATAACAAGACCAATTTTTGTGAATTTTTGTGTGCATATCAGTTAGGTCTGCGAATCGGCGGCATCTATTTTTCATCCTCCTAAATGTTATGGGTCCATCCCTAAATTTATTTTTTATTTTTAAGACATTATTTACAGACAGTTTTTTTATTATTTATGATACAGCATACCAAAATACCTCCCACCCTTAATTTTCACCTCTTTACGATTAGCCCCTATTTTTTATTATAGTAGATAGTTATTTTTATTGAACTTAAAAAATGTTTCCTAGTTCCTATATTATTTAATATACATGGCAAAACAACGTTTACCGGATCAGCTAGTACTATACATACATATAGTGATGTTACATATTTATAGGCTTTGGCTTTCTGATGATCATTCATTATAGGCGTCTATAGGAGATCAGCCTTCTAGGCCCACCCCAATCAAATATCGTTCCACCAGTACTGAAATCCTGGAACTTGGAGTTATCAGCTATACCAACTCAGCATTTAAAACATTCCAAAAATAAAACGGACCTTTCTTGTACCTTGTTTAAATTGTTTGTGATCTCTTTATTATTTAAATTGATTCAATTCTTAAATAATAAACTCAGCAGGAATACATTATGAAAGCTACTATTAAGCTCGTGTATTCTTTATATTCAGGTCCAGCGAAATTTACATAGATTTATGTGCAGTACTATTTGTGAGCTATTGTCTAGTTTTAAACACGGTTTGCTTTTGTTAGGATAACCATAAAATAGAAAATTTAACTATTGAAATATCCAATTTGACTTAGGGTCCTTGAAGCGTACTAATTCTTAATAGGCCGGCACGCACTCGCGAGCCTCCATGGGCTTAGCATCGGGTGAGCCTCCTGCTCGTTTGTCCCCTGTTCTATAAAAAAATCTAACGAACATGATTAGGGGATAACCGATTCAAGGTTATATGATGGAGAAGAATTTATCATAAAAGTGTAAGTAAAATTTGTGTATTGAAGATGCAGTAGGTTGCAGCGTTACTTTTTTCTTACGTATTTCAAAAATCACATTACAAACATTTACTAAACAACTCAAACAATATCTTGTTAACCTGTCATATGCTGATACTGAAAATATTCTGATTGTGCAAAAAGAAGTGTAAATATAAACGTGTAGAAATCATTAATATGATTTATAAAATACTATATACATACAAAAGGAATAAAATACAAAAAGGAAGAGAATGGCTGCCCACAACACAGGGAATCCTAGTGTGGGGGCCAGTGTACTTTACCTAATCTAAACATCCTGTATATTGTGTATAATAAAGTTTTTTCTTTTCTTTCTTTCTTTTACTAATATTTCCCAACCAATCTGACTCAGGACCCTTCAAAGAAAAAAGCGTACTAATTCTTAAAGTGCCGGCAAAGCAATTGCGAGCCCTCTGGCAATGTCTAGCACTTAACATCAAGTGAGCCTCCTGCCCGTTTGATGTTGCTCCCTGT